GATCTGGGAGTTTGGGAGGCCGAGGCAGAAGAATCACTTCAGTTCAGGAGAGATCAGTCTGAGCAACACAGTGAGACCTCATCTCTACAAAAAATAAAAAATTAGCCAAGCATGGTGTGCATGCCTGTAGTCCCAGCTACTCGGGAGGCTGAGGTGGGAGGACTGCTTGAGCCTGGTAGTTCGAGTTTGCAGGGAGCCACGATCCCACCGTTACACTCAACCTGGGAAACAGAGTGAGACTCTGTCTTGAAAAAATAAAGTAAAGTACACGTCCAATTAGTTTCATTTTCACATATGTGGAAAGAGGCTCTTTTGCATTATAAAGTGGCAGCACCAGGATTCAGGCTTAGCATAACCAACTTCAAACCCCTTCCCTTCTTCTTCAACAGTGCTTAGCATACTAATTTCCTGGGGTCTGAATTTTTAAAATGTCAATTTTTAAGCCCTATTTAAAACAACAAAAAACCTTGAATGTTTAAAGGTGAAATAAGCCCAAATTTTACTCACTAGAGGACACGAATGTGTTTAAAAGTGCAAACAAGTTTACTCACTTTTGTATAGAGCTTGGAATAAAGCTCTACCTTCCATATTTATGCTTAATTTCATGCTTTTAAATGTATCAATGATAGGAAAAGACACAGCTCTACAAGAAACTTAAAAAAACAAACTAACAACCACAAAGGCCTTCATATGTCCAATAACATAAAATCTTACAACTACACACTATAGCAACATGCATTCAGAGCACTTGATCAAATGCCCCGAGGTACAGGCACATCTTTTCAGTACAGTGTCTCATCAAGACATAAAAGGAGATAGTCAGAGGAAGAGGTCATTCTTAGATACAATGTTCATTTAACATTCAGTTTTATTATAAGTATTGTGTTTAATATAAGAAATACGTGCATTTTGTATTTGTGATTTAACGTTGAAAAGCAATTTTTACTATTCATTCAAGAGTATGAATCAGTTAAAAAGCATTCTAATATAGGAACATAAGCTTAAGAAAAATAAACTATCACTTGAAAATTAAGAGGAACAGAACTTGGTAACAAAAAATAGAAACAAAATAAAAAAACAAACTGTGCATTAGGATATGTTTACAGCAATTATCCATACTACCAGTTTCAATTTCCTACACTCACTAAAACTGCTTCATTCTTCTAATTAGTTTTACAAGAGTTAAAATTTGAATTTATAAAGCAAACTTATACCAATAAAATGCCATTGTTAATACAGACAGATTTAGCTTGAAGAATACTGTTATAGTTTGAAAAACACTTACAGATTTGGCTTGAAGAATACTGTTAAAGTTGGAAAAACACTATATTATGCAAATTAATAGTCACTAGCATATGATAAGGCCACAACTTAAAATACAGTAACTGTTATTTATATATTTTTTTATTTAGAGACCAGGTCTTGCTCCGTCACCCAGGCTGGAATGCAGTGGCATGATCACAGCTCACTGCAGCCTCACCTGTCCAGTAATCCTCCCACCTTATACGCCCAAGTAGCTGAGTCCACAGGTGCACACCACCATGCCCAACTAATTTTTGTATTTTTGGTAGAGTCGGGGTTTTGTCATGTTGCCTATGCTGGTCTCAAACTCCTGAGCTCAAGTGATCCACCCACCTCAGCCTCCCAAAGTGCCAAGATTACAGGCAATGAGCCACAGCGCCCAGCCCAAATATAATAACTTACGAAAAAGATCTTAATCATTATTTACTTGCTCTTTACAAACATTTAAGCAATGCCTCAAACTCTACACTTGTCAGTTACATTAACTACAAGAGCTGGAATCTAGTTTTTCTTACACTACCAGAGAGTGAGAGTGAGAGAATGTGTGTGTGTATTTTAAGAGGAAAAGTAGCCTGCTGAGAAAGAGAGAGAGGGGGGTACGGAGAGAGGGGGAGGGAGGGGGAGAGCGGGGGGGGGGGAGAGAGAGAGAAAGAGAGAGAGAGAGAGAGCACGCGTGTGTGTGTGTGTGTGTGTGTGTGTGTTTAAAAACAGAAAAAGTAGCTTTTATCCAGGTTATCTGTTTTTGGAATTTTCTTTTTTCTTTTCGAGACAGAGTTTCACTCTTGTTGCCCAGGCTGGAGTGCAATGGCGCAGTCTCGGCTCACTGCAACCTCTGCCTCCCAGGTTCAAGTGATTCTCCTGCCTCAGCCTCTTGAGTAGCTGGGATTACAGGCAAGTGCCACCAGGCCCAGCTAATTTTTGTATTTTTAGTAGAGACGAGGTTTCTCCATGTTGGTCAGGCTGGTCTCCAACTCCCGACCTCAGATGATCTGTCTGCCTTGGCCTCCCAAAGTGCTGGGATTACAGGCATAAGCCACCACACCCAGCCTATTTTTGGAATTTTCTAAAGCACAAAACACATAATGAAAATACAGCCTCAAATTTCCTTCCACATATATTCCTTGAGACTAATTACGAAGTCAAAGTGAGGAGTTTTTTTTGTTTCCAAAGCATCTTTTTTAGAGAGAAGTAGGTATAGATGGAGTTGCTAAAGATAAAGCACTGAGATGTATCTCTTTCAGATATGGGAACCAATATTTTCGCTATAAATTAGCCATCTGATGTCCAAAAATAAAGTATTATATCTAAAGTAAAACAATTTAAAATAAAACATTCTAAGTCAAATAGCTGATATAAAAGGAATTTCAGATGTTAAAACAACAAAGCCAAAGAAGCAAAAAAAAATTTAAAATTACACTGAAAATAACATATTTTAAGTATTTGTTTTTTTTCTTTTTTGAGACAGGGTCTCACTCTGTCATCCAGGCTGGTGTGCAGGGGCGTGATCTCGGCTCATGCAACCTCCACCTCCGGGGTTCAAGTGATTATCCCGCCTCAACCTCCTGAGTATCTGGGATTACAGGTGCCCACCACCACGTCTGGCTAATTTTTGTATTTTTAGTAGAGACAGGGTTTCACCATGTTGGACAGGCTGGTCTTGAACTCCTGACCTCAAGTGATCCACCTGCCTCGGTCTCCCAAAGTGCTGGAATTACATGTGTGAGCCACCATGCCTGGCCTATTTTAAGTATTTCTATGCCTTTGTCTATGAAAGTGGACTTGCCTGAACTATCGGTACTACAAGCCAGAAAAGCAGGTATTCTAGTTCTGGTTTTGCCTCTTAACTAGCTGTGAATTTAGGCAAATTCTCTAATTTCTCAAATCTCTTTTTCCATTGTAAACCAAGGACTAGTTTCCCTTGTAAACCAGGGACTAGTCAAAAAATAAAGAATTTCAGGTTTGAAGAGGCTTTCCAAATTACACCGTATAACTCTACTATGTTACAATTTAATGGAGGCATAGGCATGTTAGGAAACTTTCCTTAATTCACACAGGTAGTTACTGACAAAACTAAACCTAAAATCCAAGTCCAATACTTATGCAATAAAACAGTTGTAAGTTTAAATTTCTTTATCAATAGCATGATAAGTTTATAAGATCTTGTTGTCTGGCCCTTTTAGGTTCAGTAAATAGGCCGTGCACACTGCCAGGTTAAATATAAATCCAAGTGTTTCTCTATGCAATAATCGAGTTAGTTTTTATACAGAAATTGTATTAGTACGATTATGAACTTTTAGGTTCCACGGAGATGTTGAATGTGAAAAGACTCATACACTTCATTCTACACTTGTCAGATCTAACCTTTATTTAAAATAACTCTTGAAATTTCTATTGGTTTTTCAAGTAGATTTTTAGTGTTCAAAGACAAATCAATATTACATAATACATAGATAAAAAAATCAATGAGTACTTTCAAAATAGTAAGATGAAAACTTTCCTTAACCTACTAAAGCAACAAATGCAACTGACACTATTCTAAGAATGCAGGTAATATATTTTTATCTACATTAGTTACTAGACTTAAAATGTAGATATTCTTACTTTGAGATGTATATCCACTTTTAAGAATGACTAAGCTTCTTTCCTAATAGGAAATACTTACAACTCATGTGGAATATATAATTAGGACTGTATAGAAAACAAAACGTAAGAAAATCAAATTTTGGTAGTGTTCCCTCCCTTTTCTTTTAGGTGCTATGATCAAAGGTATCTGATCACAATTTACATTTATATTTTTTAAGTTTTTAAATTAAAACAATTGTAAATATATTTATATAGCATTGAGCTAACCAGGTAAATTGCTTAAAATTCTCTAACAAAAGCAAAACAAAAACAAAATTACCCCTTGTATACCATAATTATTTAAAACCTCAAATGATAAATTAGGGAAGTATTCTGGTCTGCATTTTGAAGTCAGGTTATGAAAGCAATCTCTCAGATTGATCACTGTAGGTAATGTACTTTCATATTGGAACATAGTTGCTTCTCATTGCATCCCTTAAAGATGAAGTTATTATTTCAATTTTCAGGCTCGGAGAAATTATAATATCCATTCAAGGTTGTATGCTTTGTAAATTTAAGATTCAGAACACAAACCAAAATTCAATGGAGGGTAGATCATTAACAAAAGCATAACAACAATAAAGGAAATAGCATATTCCAGGGCAGCTACTATGTCCACTTAATGATATCACAGGTTTTTGCACTATAGTAGGGTATAAGATTGGAAAGATTCAGTAGAGTCAAATTTTACGGGTCCGAATGTAAATACTGGCTCAGAATGTTAGGTTTTATTCGGTAAGTAGTGAAAAGCACCTGGGAATTTTTTAAAAATGGGATGTGGTATGAGAAAGAATTAACCTGCAGCAAGGAGGAGGAAAAAAAAAATTACTGAGCATCCATTAGCATGGTTCAATGTAATTCATTAAATATTATAAACGGCCAGAAAGATGGGTGGCAAGACAAGTGCTGGGTCTTGATTTATAAGATAACTAAAAAACCTACAACTGTACCCTGAAAAAGCGTAATTTGGAGGGTAAAAATATGGTACAGTCAAAATTTATTATCTTACTATTAAGGCAAAACAACATTGATGATCTACACATCAGGGAGTATCCAATGTTTAAAAATAGCCTTACCTTAGATCAGGTGATTCGGCCCTCCCATATCGATCCTGCCACTTCCCAACGCTTGAATTGGCTTTTCTGGAGGCAGTACTTGTCTGAGACTGAGAAGAGGTGCTGTTTCTGGTGAGATAAATTTTCTATGTTTTTTCTTACATATTGTTGTCTCTGACCCCCCTTGTTCTGTTTTTTTTTTTTTTTTTCTTGACATGCTTTTTCTAAAGTCTTTTAGTATGTTCCTACAATATCATTCTCAAGTCATATAAACTACTTGCTGTGGTACTAAGTATTTAAATATAGATGTGCTATCAACACTTTATTAACTCTAGAATATTTTTAGAAATATTCTTCAACATAGTATGATGTCAATGCAGAAATGAGAAAAGAACTAAGGGTTTACATCAGGTTACAATACATTATTTATAAAATACATTTCTGTGCCTCTATGAATTCTTAACATTAATTTTTGCAGTTTTACAAAATCTTATTCAAAATTTTGGTATTTCTTTCCCTATATTCTTCAACAATGAATATAAGTATTGTTAGTGAGACCAGTTAACAGCAACACTCTGACATGTTTCATAAAAACCTATACTACTTTTATAAAAAATCCATTTCAAAATAACTCTTTCAAAGTTCCCAAAAAAGTTAATTTTATCCCTGTTGACATACTTCATAAAAAGTTCAGATATGTGCACTACTGCCAATACTTTACAGAACTAATTAGATGCTCTTTCAAAGCAGAAGGACAGATATACATGTTTATGCATCTGCTTGTTTATGTAAAAAGAAACAGGAAAAATAAACCAGAAACTAAATGAAATCTGTTCTGACAGGAATAAAAGAAACAGAGAAAGGTGTGACAAGTTTCTATATATCTTTGGATACTCTTGCCTTTGGAACTGTCAGATGTTTTAACGTATGCAAAAAATAAATCAGTGAATGTGGAAGGAAAAACAAATGCTAAAACTGCATACAAACAGATACAGTGAACCAAATTATATATTTTAAATTATTAATAAAACAACTCTGTAGGAAACTTCTGAACCCAATATTCGAACTATATACCCTTAGCTTAAAAAGAGACAAAGAAAAAACTGTAAACAAATCCTAAACTCTACTGAATAGGTTTTCTTATAACAGTAAAAGTTCTGAATCTGTTATATGTGTATTTCAAGATTCTGGGAGTCAGGTTCTTTGGGGGGTGGGGGGTGGGGGAAGGAGATGCAACATGGAATAGGGAAAGGGAAACAGGAATAAGAATCCTGTGATGTTCAAATGGAAGTAAAAGAAACATGATGGTTTCATGACTAAAATGTATTTTAAAAAACACACATGGCCATTTCATCTGGAAAACGCTAATTCTTTCCTAGCTCTGAGTGCTGAAAAGGCCTGGAAATAAGGGTGCCCTAGTATAATGGGCACAGCTAGCACCCTGAACTTGTTTTTTAATTACCATTCCCCACTAAAAGGAATCAGAGTGCCTTTGAAAATGGCTGCTTCTAAGGAAGAAACAGGGAAACTACAAGATAAGCCTGGAACATCCTGGTAATGCCAAACTATAAAAACAACCTTAAAAAAAAAAAAAAAAAAAAAAAAACCAGTGGAGACGTATCAAAAGGTCACGGAGCAACTTTGAAGAGGAACAATTTGAACATCAAAATGAATTTCAGTATATATAAATCATACATATGGTTTAAACACCATGTATACAAATAAGCTATATTTGTAAGCCACACATACATACTTTCTCACACATAAAATAAGAATTTATGAGTCTAAGTGATAAGTGGTGGAGTGGGAAAGCTCATTTTTAAAGTAGAATGCCAACTAATAAATGTTAAGAGAAATAAGAGTTACATAATCACTATTTTGCAGCCATTACAGTAATAACTGACTAAAGAAAATATTTTCACTGGAGCTAAAATCCCTAAAAAGTTTGAAGAGGAACAAGTTTAGTCTTTCCATAAATTACTTATTAAATACAAAGGAAAAAATAGTAACTTTGCAGTGCAGAAACCCAAAGGACACCACCACAACGAAGTCATTAGAATTATCATTACTAATAAAATAACATGACAAACTGACATCATGTATCTCCAAGCCAATACACTGAGAAGAGTACATCATCACTTACATAGTATTCCTGCCCAAAAAGCAAAACCTGAATCTAATCATGAGAAAATATCAGGCAAACCCAAGAACAATCTACTCAACAACTAGATTGTACTCTTCTAAAATTCAGTGTTAAGAAATACAAAGAAAAGTTAAGAAGCTGATCCAGATTTAAGAAAAACAAAATGATAAAATAGTTAAATTTAATGCGAGAAACTGGATTAAGTCCTAAATCCAGGAAGAAAGATTGCCATAAAGCATATTGGGATAACTTGCAAAATTTATAGCCTGCAATTAGATGAAAGTACTGATTCACTATTAGATTTTCTGCCTTTGATAACTGTGCCATATGATTATCTAACAGAATGTCCTGGTTCTCAGGAAATACATGCTTAAGTACTTAAGAGTAAAGGGGCATGATGCCTACAATTAACATTCAAATGGCTCAGTAAGAACAATGTTTCTGAGAAATTATGATGCAAATATGACAAAATGTTATTAACTGGAAAATCTGGATAACAGTATATGGAAGTTATTTGTACTTTTTTTGCAATTCTTTGTTAAGTTTAAATTTTTGTCAAAATAAAACTTTTTTTTAAATGACAACAACAAATGAAGGAAGCATAATGGGGACTTTTGGGGGTAATGAAAACGTATCAGTCTACATCCTGATTTACAAAAGTATGTTTAGTTTATAAAAATTTAACCAAGATGTACATTCCTGATATGCCACTTTTCTGCATGTATTTCACAAAAAGATGAAAACTTCTAAAGATTAAGCAAAGTATTCCGATATATTAAATATAAAATTTTACTTAATGCCAATTTGCTGGGTAGTACAAAAAGTTGGAAACCCAGCATTTCTATTGATAAAGCATGAAAAAATATTTTTAAAAGTTCTGTGCAAGCATATCAATACTCATCTATACACTAATAAGGCAATCTAAGATTTTCAACAATGGAAATACAGTGCTTAGGTCACTAGTACAGCTTGTTTGTCTTAAACATCTACTGTGCATCCTGTATTATGTCTTAATGAATAACATTTACTGTTTTCTCCCTAAAGTCAATACAATTTTACTTTCAAAGATGTCTATCCAATCTCCATAAATATAATGAATAAAACAAAAACAAATATTGTTATGGGAAATATTTCACAATGACTGAAAAGTATCCTTTTTATCAAATGGAGTCCAGAAAACAAACTTCCCTAATGAGTTGTGGCTACTGGCCTTTATGTACAAAAGTGACAGTATGGACAACGTAGGTAACTTCTATAGGTAGCAGTGGTAATTATTCATTTTTGGTTTACTAGTGAAAGCCCTGCTAATTTTTCCATCCTTTCTTTACCTCCTTTCAGCTTTCCCTTACCTATATTTGCCCTCCATCTCTTCTTAGCCAATGGCCCATCATTACAGTAACTCTCTCAAGTAAACGCTCATGTACCTGTCTCCTTTATTCTTTTTTTATAATTGCCTGATACATCAACTTCTGTTAAATCCAACTCTAGCTAATCTTCATGAACACTCATATACCTGAAAAGAGTAACAGAAACATCCAAAAAGCAGCTGACTTGTCTCATTTTAAACCCATGGCCATTAATCTCGAGAAAAGTTGAAAATATACAGCAGTCCCCCCTTTATTCTTGGGGGATATATTCTAAGACCCTCAGTGGAGGATATATCCTAAGACCTCCAGCGGATACCTGAAACTGAAGATGGTACTGAACTCAATATGTACAACGTTTTTTCTATAAATACATGCCTATAAAATTTAATTTATAATTAAACACAGTAAGAAATTAACAAGAATAATAAAAGAGAACAATTATATTAGGTGAGTGAAAAAGTAATTGCGGTTTTTGAACTGTTGGGATCTGCAGTTTGGTACTGGAATACATTCTTAAATAAGTGGTTATGTTACACATCATTTTAATGGGCATTTCTCGCTTTATTTATTTATTTTTCTGCTAATGACTTATTACTTGCTGTTTATTTTACGTTTAGACTATGGAAATGATGTTAGACAAAAAGCAAATTCGAGTAACTTTCTTATTCAAGTTCAAAATGGGTCATAAAGCAGCGGAGACAACTCGCAACATCAACAACACACTTGGCCCAGGAATTGCTAATGAACATACAGTGCAGTGGTAGTTCCACAAGTTTTACAAAGGAAGCGAGAACCTTGGCTGGCCATTGGAAGTTGACAACGACCAATTGAGAACAATCATCGAAGTTGATCCTCTTACAACTACACAAGAAGCTGTCGAAGAACTCAACAACCATTCTGTGGTCCTTTGGCATTTTAAGCAAATCAGAAAGGTGAAAAAGCTCAGTAAGTGGGTGCCTCATAAGCTAACCGAAAATCAAAAAAATCATCCTCATGAAGTGTTGTCTTACTCTACGCAACAACGACGAACCATTTCTCTATCGGATTGTGATATGCAATGAAAAGTGGATTTTATGCAATGACTGGAGATGACCAGTTCAGTGGCTAGACAGAGAAGCAGCTCCAAAGCACTTCCCAAAGCCAAACTTGCACCAGAAAAGAATCATGGTCACTGTTTGGTGGTCTGCTGACAGTCTAATCTACTACAGCTTTCTGAATACCAGCACAACCACTTCATCTAAGAAGTATGCTCAGCAAATCGATGAGATGCACCAAAAACTGCAATGCCTGCAGCTGGCATTGGTCAATAGAAAGAGCCCAATTCTCCTCCACAACAATGCCCGACCACATGTTGCACAACCAATGCTTCAAAAGTTGAATGAATTGGACAACAAAGTTTTGCCTCATCCACCATATTCATCTGACCTCCTGCCAACCAACTACCACTTCTTCAAGCGTCTCAACAGCATCTTTTTGCAGGGAAAACGCTTCCACAATCAGTGGGATACAGAAAATGCTTTCCAAGTTTTGTCAAATCCCAAAGCACGGATTTTTACACTACAGGAATAAAGAAACTTATTTCTCATTGGCAAAAAATATGATTGTAATAGTTCCTATTTTGATTAATAAAGATGTGTTTGAGTCTAGTTATGATTTAAATTTCACGGTCCAAAACCGGAATTACTTTTGCACCAATCTAAAAACAATCTACTATAATAAAAGTTATATGAATGTGGTCTCTCTCAAAATATCTTATTGTAACATACTACAGGTAATTGAAACCAAGGAAAGCGAAACCCAGATAAGGAAGTAGTACTGTACAGTTTCTCTGTGTCACTCATTCCCATCAGCATATAAAAATACTGTAATTCTCTCATCTTGAAAAAAAGGCTTCTCTTGTCCCCACACTTCACTCCAGCTGCCCAGCTACTCCTTTCACCTAGTTTATTCACAGAGCTCCAAAAACCTATTTCAGACCTCTTTTCTTCTCACTCAATGCTACCTTCCAATGGTCTCTTATTTCCAATAGCCTCACTCTCACCAGATAAGTCTGCATATTATTTTGCTGCGAAAAATGAAAGCAAACAGAAGAGAACTTTCAATTATTCCCACTCCATTATCCACCTACCCATCTGCACTGGTGCCCCGTATCCTGCCTTCCCTCCTGTTCTTACGAATGAATGGTCCATGCTTCTACTTAAGGGCAACTCCTCCACTTGCATATTACATCTCATTCCTTTGGCTTTATTAAATGACATTGCTCTACAACTTCTCTGTCTTACATCATCAATTCTCCTGCAGTAACTCATTCCCATAAATACACAAAATGCTGCAAGTATTATTATTTTTTAGACAGTGTCTCACTCTGTCGCCAAGACTGGAGTGCAGTGGCGCGATCTTGGCTCACTGCAACCTCTACCTCCTCAGTTCAAGTGACTCTCCTGCCTCAGCCTCCTGAGTAGCCTGAACTACAGGTGTGCGTTGCAATTTTTGTATTTTTATATTTTTAGTAGAGATGGTGTTTCGCCACATTGGCCGGGCTGGTATCAAACTCCTGACCTCAACAGATCTGCCCACCTCGGCCTCCCAAAGTGCTCAGATTACAGGCATGAGCCACAGTGCCCAGCCAATATGCTGGTGTTTTTTGTTTTGAAAAAAAAACTTCTCCTGATCCCACATTTCCCTCCAGATACTGTCCCATTTCTCTGGCCCCCAAAGAAAGAAAATAGTCTTCCAAAAAGTGCCCATATTTTCTTTCTAATTCTTTTCCTCCCACTCTTTCTTGAATCCATTACAAAGTCTTTTAACTTCATTTTATACAAACGAAAATGATCCTGGTTAGGATCACCAAAGACCATGAATAAAATCCAATGGTCATTCTTAGTCTTTATTTTCTTTACCAATCAATTGGATTTGATATTTGACAGCTGACATTTCTCCTTCTTGAAACACATTGTTTTCAAGACATACAGTGGGTTTTTTTCCTACCTCATTCATCATTCCTCCTTATTGGTCTCCTCTTACTAGTTAATGCTTATTTTCCTGACATACAAGGGAGTGCCCCAAGGCTGTCTCTTACCACTTCTCCATCAATACTTACCTCTTTATTCCATTTTGTAGTTTCATTTAAATAATATGTAAACACTGATTATCCTAAATTCATTATCTCCAAACCATACTCTTCCCTTCTACTCCAGATCCATACAGCCAACTTCCTACTCAAATTTCCCACTTGCATGTCCAATAGGCATCTCATTTTTATTATGTTCTACACTGAACTCTTGGTCTTCTTCCTCCAATAACCACTCCTCCTTATGGTCTTTTCCACCTCTGTAAATGACAAAACCATCATTCTGGTTCAGTTGATCAGAACAAAAACCTTGGATTCACCCTTAACTGCTTTTTCCTCTACAAGCTACATCCAATCCATCAAGATAGGCTATGGGCTTACCTTCTGAAATATATCTGGTATCCGACTTCTCAGTATCTCCACACCATCATCTTGGTCTAAGTTACCATTACCTCTTGCCTAGATAATTGCTGCAACCTCCTAACTGGCCTCCCTGTTTTCACCCATCCTAAGTAACTCTATAGTCTGTTTTTAGTAAAGCGACTAAATCGAAACTTTAAAAATCTAAGTGAGATTTCATTGCTCTGCTCAAAATCTGCCAGTGAGTCCCCATTTACTTAATTTATAGGAAAAGCCAAAGCCTTTATAATGGCACACAGCCCTATGTAATCTGGCCCAAATTTTGAAAAGCCAATCAATAACAACAACAAAAAAAGGCAAAATACAGAAAAGTTACTGATTTTTAAATAGTTTAAGTATAATAGCAAACATCTAGAGTACTTTCTAGGTACCAGGCACTGTTCTAAAACACTACATAAATGAATCCGCTGAATGTATATAACTACACTGTGAGGGAAGTACTATTACTACATTTTACAGATTAAGAAATCAAGGCATAAGATGATCAGGGAATTTGCCCAATGACAGCACAGCTAGTAAGTTGCAGAGCCAGCATCTGAACTCCAGAAATCTGACACTCCAGAGACCAAGCTGTTACCAACACTCTATATTGCAGAACATCATAAACTCAATGAATGAAAATTAACCTCTTAAAAAATGTACAAGCCAAAAGAATACTACATATTAAAATATTACATATTACTACATATTAAAAGCTTAGCTATCATAAATTCTTTAACCAAACATTTTGAGATTATATTTAGTTTAAATAATCACATTTCATTATGTCTATGACAATTCACAAAAATCCTGGATTACTTTATAACATTTAATTTTGGCTGAAAGCTTCAAGAATCTTTATCTTAGAGCTAGACTAGATGCCACTGTAAGGTCTCTTCCTGCATTAGATTATTCTAAAATATCTCTCATAACAATACAAAACTGCAGAATAACAAAAACAGAAAACTACATAAAATAAATTTAAACAAGTAACACAAAAGGTAAGTGATCTGGCCGAGAACTAGTAATACTTGGGTTATTAATTTGTTTCAGGCCCAGACTTTAGTCATCTTATCTAGTGCAAGATTAAACTACTAACCTCAAACTTCGCCAGTCTTAGCCTACTATCCTTTACCAGTTTCCTGGTAATGGCATAATAGGGTAACCATTTGTCACATTTAAGTAAAAAAGACATTTTTTAGCATGTTTGCCTCTTACATCTGATACCTTCTGGAACATATGAGGTATTATCACATCAAACCAAACCATAACAAAAAATGGTTCCAATTTTAAAGATCTTCCAAGTTGAAATTTCAACAGCCTCTTTCACTAAAATTAGCAAAAGACCTTCAGGCCAATAGATCTAGACTTAGAAGTCCAATAATTCTTTATGTAAGAATAGTGAGCACAGGAAAGAGCGAATACTATTATTACCACCTCTCTTGAATGTAAGATTGTTTCTTTATACATATACATAACTATATACCACACTTCACTTCTTGCTTACCTAGGCTTTTTAGATGGAAAAACATCAAGAAGTTTCTTGTGAAGAATTCATTTTGTACTAAAACAAAGTAGAATGTTCCAGTTTTTTGGTAGAACATTCAGAGCTTTTATACTTAATATAACACAAACACAATGTAAAGATACCAATGTTGTACAATAATTGAGTTACAACTACGTAACTAACCTGCTCGGTGGGAGACCAGTCTTGAATAAAGAGGGAGGAGAAGTAAACTCAGCTTTTGTAGATGGAAGGGCTGTTTCTTTCTCTGAATTTCCAGTTCTTCCCTGTTGTACCTTAAAAAAAAAGGTTATTAGCTTGTTTAATTTAATAGAAAACTCAAACATAATGGACTTTAGATGTTAAAATAAGTTTACAACATTTAATTTGAAGTTAAACATTAAGAATGTTTCTTTGCTGAATATTTATTAAAAATAGCCTATTTTAGAATAGTATTAGGTGAAAGGCACCAAACAGAGCATAGGATCAAAATGTTCCAACTATCAAAAAGTTCACATTAATAACACTTAGAAGCAGAATAAACTGTAATTCTTTGGCACTTTCATAAATTCTCGCAGATCACCACAAATAGGTCCCAGATACTTGGTTATGACTTCATGTTTTGAATTCAAGAAAGGCCTTGAAGAATTTTCCCATTCTGTGTTCACCACCCTTATTCTAAGAAAACAACAGGTGACCATTTTACCCATTCCGACCATTTTCTATTCAGACTGTGATTTCCTGTAACACAAATGTGAATAATCTGCTACTGTACATCCATACAATTTCTCCCATCACCATTAAAAGTACCATCATCCTGCCAGTTCAGTAGGCTTAAAAGCTTGAAGTCAATCACTTGTCTTAATACCTCTCCTCACTCTGTTGCCCAGGCTGGAGTACAGTGGTGCAATCACGGCTCACTGAAGCCTCTACCTCCCAGGTTAAAGTGATTCTCTTGCCTCAGCCTCCCAACTAGCTGGGATTACAGGTGTACACCACGATGCTTGGCTAAGTTTTGTATTTTTAGTAGAGACAGGATTTCACCATGTTGGCCAGGCTGGTCTCAAACTCCTGTCCTCAAGTGATCTACCCACCTCTGCCTCCCAAAGTGCTAGGATTATAGGTGTGAGCCATCACGCCCAGCCTTCTCCCTCTTAATACTAATTTCAAAACCAGTTATCTACTTACTCCATAATTTCTCCAAGATTTGCCTATCCTTTCTGCTCTTAGTAGAGACTTTGATTGTGGCCCAGTCACATTCCTCTAGACTGCTGAAATGACTTCTTTATGCTCTTCTGCTTTTATACTCATCTTTTTATCTTAAAATTACCATCAAACTATTCAATTTAAACAAACTAAATTCAAGTTTCCTTACACTTAAATAATATCACAGCATATTTTATGTTCTATTTAAATTCTACTTAAATTCCCTGCTCCACTTAAATTCAGCATCACTCTCCTTTCCCATGAGGCAAAGGCCAAGACAATCTTAAGACATTTTGACCGATATATCTGAACTACCAATTCAGTTCCAAAATCATCTACCTTCCAACTAATCATTGTGTGAGAAAAAGAAACTCTTTTACACTTAAGCCATTATAGTCAGATAGCTCTCTTATTAATAGTGTCCAAACCAATCCCTAATTGATACCCTCACATAATGAGGATTTTACATTTAGTTTATTTGAAAATGAGTTCTACCACTTAAAAAAAATTTTTTTAAATGCCCTGATTCTAATGAGATGATGAGAATCAGCACTAAGGCAATGGGAACAGAAAGAAATGGACTTGACAGATACCTGACAGGTAAAACTGACAGGATCTGGTGAGAGAATGTAAACATTATTCATTCATCATTTATTGAATATCTATTATGTACCAGAAGCTGATAGAGAGAAACACAACAGGATCCTGGACCTTAGGAAAAAACAAACACACCAACAATCAGAGCAATATAATAAATATCATGACAAAAATCTAAGAGATAAAAGATGTTATAATAACACAAAAATAAATGCATTGTTCTGCCTGGGGATGTCAAGGAATATTCAGAGTTGACACTATTGTCCCAACTGCTCCCCTGAACACCAGTAATTTCTGTGTAACTTCTTTCACGTCTAACGGACATCTCAAAGTTACCATGGCCAAAACAAAACTACTAATTTCCCCTAATCTGATCCTCTACAAGTCTTCCCCATATAAATAAATAGCACCATCATCTACTGGAGCTGCTTAAGGAAAAAAACCATAGAAATTATCTAATACATATCAACACCCAATGTCAACTTTACCTTTACAATATATATGCCAAATTCCAATCTGCGATCAGTAACCTTCCTAGAAAACACAGCTGGCAGTACTGTGAGGTTTGTCATTTGTAAAGAGAGTCACACAGATATTCCAGACTATTTACAGATTGTTTGGTTTACACCAAAAGCTATCGCTTCACTTTTGTGTGACACAGAAATAAGATTTCAACAATTCCTTTTTGTATTTTTTATTTTTATTACGAGCCTTTTTATCAACAGATAGAGACTACCTAATTTGGGCATGAGAAGAAAACAGCACAGACACACTGCCTTCAGTGAAGATGCATGCCACTCCATTCATGAGCATCCTCCCCCTGAGGGAGGATAAGAATAAAAACTGTGTTTGGACCACTTGGATTCAAGCTCTGCCACACAGCTCACTCTCTGGTGATCACTGATCTCTCTAGCTAACTTTACTGATTCTACCAGAAGAAGAAGAATGAAGGAAAGTTACTCAACGACCCGAAAGAATCTCATTACGGCAATGGTGTGATTGCTTATAAGTTCCCATACAAAAAGGAATCCTTTCGAAGCACCTGGGATGATGCGTTAGTATCACAGGATTTTCTTCTTCCTGGTTTCTCTTCAGAGGGAAAAAAAATATGAATTCAAAAGAATTCCAGTCTGAGGCACAATCACTTGCTTCCATAACAAAAATATCTCATCTTTTTCGGCACATAAATATTCTTTCATTGGTTAAAAAGAAAAATACCCTTTAATGTCTTAGAACTCTCTGGTGGTAAAAACTGCAGATTTCAAAATTTTCCTTTCATATTCCTATAATTCTCCGAAAGTATTAAGTCTGTGTATGCTTCAACAATTTAGTTTAAAAAATGCTCAATCTGAAATCAACTGCATTGACCATTTGGCTTTGCACGACAGGGAGAAAATAAATGGTTCACTGGTTATTTATACAGCGAGACTAAGAAAGAAGCTATTAATTGCCACTAATTTTATGACAGGCTTTAATGTTTATGAAAGCATGATTTTTTAATTTTATGAGCAATATCCATTTGAGGTTGTAAAAGAAAGCATACGATTCTAACTGTAGGCCGAGCATGGTGGCTCACGCCTGTAATCGCAGCACTCTGGGAGGCCGAGGTGGGCAGATCATGAGGTCAGGGGTTTGAGACCAGCCTGGCCAACATGGTGAAACTGTCTCTACTAAAACTAAAAAAATTAGCTGGGAGTGGTGGCAGGCACCTGTAATCCAGCTACTCGGGAGGCTGAGGCAGGAGAACTGCTTGAACCCGGGAGGCAGAGGTTGCAGTGAGTCAAGATCACGCCACTGCACTTTATCTAGCTTGGGTGACAGCAAGACTCTGTCTTGGGAAAAAAAAGATTCAAATTGTAGTTCATTTTGTCTCAACATAGAAACATTTGTTTTTGAATCTTTTCCTCACCATGTAATTCTAATTATAAGAAGCCGATGTTTTATTTCCTTTGAAGTTCTGTTATATCAATGATTATTTTGTATAGATAATTCCTTTAAAAGGCCTACTTAAAGTTAACATCTAAAATACAGTTATGGCAGGGTGCAGTGGCTCACACCTGTAATCCCAGCACTTCAGGAGGCCGAGGCAGGTGGATCACCTGAGGTCAGGAGTTCGAGACCAGCCTGGCCAACACGGTGAAACCCTGTCTCTACTAAAAATACAAAAACATCCAGATGTGGTGGTATACACCTGTAATCCCAGTTACTCGGGAGGCTGAGGCAGAAGAATCACTTGAACCCAGGAGGTGGAGGTTGCAGTGAGCCAAGATCGCACCATTGCACTCCAGCATGGGCAACAAGAGCAAAATTCTGTCTCAAGACAAAAAAAAAAAAATCATAAAATACAGTTATGCCAATGAAATCCTACTCAGGGTGATATCTATATCCACAAGATGAGTGCTCATTATTCTAATAGGATTTGTTGAGGTGCTTTTCAACCCTGTGATGCTGAGATATATAAATAAGAAATCAAAAAAATTAATACAGATATACACATATACACACACACACACAAAATTCCATCACCTTATTATTATGTCTCATCCTAAAATAGTACCTGGCACGCAATAAGTACTCAATAAATATTTGTTACTTGACTGACTTTGGGAATCAACTTAAATGTCACTCCTTCAAACTCCATAGAACATGTGGTTTGTATCATCTTTAGCATGATTATTTAATTAATACCTAAATTTTCCCATTAAGCACAATAAATGTCCAGACTATAGGCTCCATGTCTATTATGGTGACCTCCCCTTCCCCACAAAGCCTAAGATACTTCCTGGTATAGTCAATGCTCAGTTAAAAACTGGGAAGGAGGAACCAGGAAGGACTGGAGAAGAGATGTGGAAAAGATATTAAAACAGAAAGACAGAGGTGAGGTAAGAGAAGATATTAGGAAAATGGCACAGATTTTTAAACACACAAAAATTGCCTGTGTTTCCCAGCTTTTCTTTTTTCCTTAATTTCTTCATAATATCCTCATTCTATTAAACAACTCTGAAAATCCTCACTATTCTAGCAACCTTTCTAGTCAACTTGATTTTCCATTTATCTTCAGATGTTACACTCAAGATTACAGACTCAAAATTTGTCTAACCAGAACATAATGAGATGATTTCATATGACCTAATATCTTAAGAAATGACCATAAGACATTGTAACTAATTTTCTGAAAACAAATTTACGTCAGAACTGACAAATCCAAACAAAACTTAAGTCTACAACCTTGAGAAGCTAAATACTCACCCAAATTATGCTACCACTGTACTAAGTTTTAAATTATTTTTGAAATTTCCTTTGGCTGCCTATCATAGCTTCATTTATAAAAGTTTAACTTTACAAACAATATCTTAAAAAAAAAAACCTTGTTAAGTAAACTAAGGTGTATCCAAATAACAAACTATGTAGCCATTTTAAATTATATTTATAAAAAAATTTTAAGAACTTATGAAAACATTACTACATGTTAAAAGTCAAAAAAAGGAAAAATAGACAACCATAAATGAATTATCATAATTTTGTTTCAACCCATAGGAAAAAAATTAAGAAGGCAACAAAATTTAGAACTTTGAAATTAGATTAAAAAATAGTAACTGACTGAGCAGACCAAAGAAAACTGAATCCTAAGTCAGCAATGAGAAAGCAAAGACAATGATTATCATGTCAGGACCCTCAAAAATTCAGAAATTAGAAGCTCCAGTTACCAGAACATTTGCATTAGCCAAGTATATACCCTCTAGATAGAATACTGGAATATTTTATCTGAAACAAATCTGATTACCACAAAAAGAAAAACACCTAAAACTACAGCAGGGAATGTGAAAAAACAGCCCTCCCGTGAAGCCTGCAGTCAAGCAAGTTCTATTCAGATGCACAGAGCTTCCAATCAATTTTAGCAGTCCACCCTTACATAAGTGTATGGCCAACAATCAACAAACATCTCAGAAAAGTCAAAGTCAGAAGCTGAAAGTACTAACTAAAATAATAAAGTTGAAAACAGACTATGCAGGAAAAGAAAATCTAACAGAAACAAAACAGCCTATCATTAATATCCTTTGAAAGAGGGGGGAAAAAGATATTGCATTACTGTAGGCATGAACAATAAGATGCTACAACTAAATAATCAAGAAAACTTTTCTTGGAAATTAACAGCAGAAATGAAAACTAAGTGGAAACATTTTAAGAATAAAAAATTCTCCCAGATAATGGAAAAGACGAAAAAGAGAAAAACAATAAAAAAAATTTAGAAGACCATTCGAAGATATCCAATATTTATCTAGAATAGAACAGAAAGCAGAGAAAAAAGTAAAAGAGAAAGTGTTCCACAAGTGAAGCATAAGTGCTTCCAAATCGAGAAGGTATAACTGAGTGCTTGGTACAATAGATGAAAACAGATCAAGACACGTAACTGTAAAATTTCAGAAAACTGGTGACAAAGCTCATAGATTCACAGTCGGGGGCGAGGGGGGAAAGAGCTATGCATGTGTGCACAAATGAATAAAAAATATTTTAAGAAATCGTTGTAGTCAGTGTTTTCTCATGCATACATATTATCTATTCCCACTAGTCACTTCTCTCTTGCCCCTCACTCTAATTAAATTATTACACAATTGTTTTTGCACCCAAATGAGTGGCTTTATTTTTACACCTGTTAAATTTTTTCCTTTATTTTGCTTTTTAGTAAAACTTTAATCATATTGAAGTATATAAAAGGCTGTTACCTCAAGAATGTCAAAACACCGTTAAGTGTTGAAGCTGCATAAGCACCTAAGGGTTCATGTGTACTATTCTACTTGTTACTGGGTTTGAAAATTATTTAATGAAAAGTAAATAAAGTTATCTTAAAGAGGCTGATGGGTTGTCTCACACTTAAGGATGAAAAAATTCTATTTGCAGTAGATATGAAAATAAATTTTAATTCTTAAATCCACTCCTTTGCCCATTCACCCTCGTAAGTGAGTTCAGGCCCTAGTTCATTTCATTCCTATAGTATGGCAACATAACCCTATCTATTTCATATCCCTTTCATTCTACAGCCCATCCTGCTGCCAGTTCCTTTTCTAAAAACCAGATCTGCACTTCATTCTACTGCTCAGGAACTTCCAAACAGCTTCCTACTGGCCACACAAACGTCTGCAGGCTAGTTTAAAATCAATGTCCTGCTCATTATGGTCCTATTTCCAACATTTCTTACAGACCACAATATACAAAAAGAAAAAATGTTTGCCACACATAGTCTTAATACACACCCTCTTCCCAAATCAGTATTTCTACCAGACATATTAGTATTTAAACACACTATCAAGGCAAGAAAACCATAAAGACTGTACCCATCAAATTCAAATCTTTCATTCAGAATCCAATAAGAATGGAACACTCTGACCTCCTCTCGCATAACCAAAAGAAACTTCAAAATAAGTTTTCCAGTACACAGTATGTATATAAAATACACATTCATAATGGCTACCTTCAATGAGACTGACCCCTAGGAGTTTCTTTTTATTCTCTTTTTAAAAGTCTACTACAAAAAATAAAGTATACAGAAGCTAACAGTTTATGATGGCAGTTCTCGTTTCTATTAAAAAAAAAATAAAATGCACTGCTGCTAATGAACTAGTTCATTAAGACAACTTTTCTACCCATTGTAGTTAAGTTTAATATATTCAATGCCATTATAGACAATATAACCCAAAAAAACCTGATGACCCTTTAAAATACAACAGACATCACCACACACTTTCAAAATATTTGCAAAAGAAGAACCAAATATGCAAAGTAGAATGTAAATTAAAAATAAAATTATCTATATAGAACTGTGTACAGTAGAGTGGTTTATCTGCAGACACAGCACACACACTGCATAAGGCAGTATTCTGGTGGACAGGGCTGCAAACCCAAAAGGGGAGCAGAGGTCTCTTTCCAGTCCACTAAAGTTCCCTGAGTATATAACCCAATCTAAAAGCCACTCCCAATCTTCATCTCAGTGTCATTCAATACAAGAATCAACCATCAAGGTAAAGAAAAAAGAGTACACAACCAGTTTTCCATAAAAGAACTATGACAATATACTATTATTCTTTGGACTGGGTCTGTGATCATACCATGCAATGGAGAAGCCAGAAACCAGACTTGATACACAAGTTGTAGTATCAACCTCAAAGTCTCTCACATAAACCTACTCCTTTCAAGTATCAATTTTTAAAATCAATGGCTTTATCTCATTCTGTTGAGTTCTTAAAGCCTCTCAGAGTATGTCTAAGATTTTTGAAGATATCTTGAGCTATCGGGGCATTACACCAATGATATCAGTGTTACCAGTATCATAGAGATAACCAGTATGCCACTTCCTTACCATTTTTTTTAAAGAAAACAAAAAAGTCTCCAATTCTGTTGATAAAGATTAGAGTATTATCTACAATGAGAGCTTAATCTGTTGCCACTAACTTTTCTATCCTACAAACACGTATTACAACTCAAAATGAAATCACAACATATAGCAAAGAACAGTTTTACTTGGCATTTGTTAGTATAATAGGCTATAAATTCACATGCTTGCAAAAGTGGAGATAAAACAACAATCAGCAAATTTGTAAGTCACCAGGAAGCTGAAGGTTTGGAAAAAAGGTAGCAATTTCCACTTTAATCTTGTCCCTTGAGTAGTGGTATGGGAGCAGACTCAAGAACAAAAAATGAGAGCAACCAAGGATAATTTACTAAAATTCACCTTAAAAAGATTGAATCTGCCATCTTGGATCTCTGCACCTGGTGTAACTTCCATAGTACAGTCTTCGGCCTAAGTTAAATAACATATTCCCCATTAAGATACCACATAATATTTAATTAATAGGCCATATAAAGACAAACTAGCTGTGGCTAGTCTGTGATTTGAAAGTAAGAACATCAGATAATCATTAATACAAAACTCTAAAAGGGAGGGAAGGGAAAAACAAACATGGTAAACAAAATGGAATTTTTAAACTATCATATATCATTTAACCACTTTTATAGGGAAGTGATTTATTTGGGGAGTAAAAGTGGGACGGTAGACAAGCCAAGGGTATTCCGGAGTATTTCTTAATTACCGTAATTTTATTTGTAGTAGAAGTTACTGGTATAACTTCAAGTCCCATTCGTATCCTCTTTTGTTTTTCACAGTAAGCTTTCCAGGTATCTTCATTAAACCCATAATTAAAATAATCAGAAAGATCAGCACCTAAAGATAAAACACATCTTTAATGTACAAATATTTCAGCTCTATTTTTATGCAGCATCAAAAATATACTAAACTATAAAAATATAAATTTAGAGTTCTATCAGTTATCACTCTATCATTTATGGTGGCAAAAAGACTATAAAATTTTTGATCAAATTATTTCCTTTAGAAATGTCATTATAATAAACAATAAGTCTACATTTTAAGTAATATGAGGCCGCCAGTAAGATTTAATAATCCAAGTCACTATTACTCATCATTTGCTTAAGACAATTAAAATTATAATGAAAAAATAAAATTCTAAATTGATGCTCAAAAAATTTTCTGATGACTTCACACTAAAAATATTGAAATTAATATAATCCACAACAGTCTTACCAGGTTTACGCCATGGTTTATCTTCAAAAGAATCCAAATCTACCTCTAAGAGTGGAACTCCATTAATGCTTCCAGGTGCATCAAGGTCTACTCCTTTGACTTTTGTTCCTGTTTTATAAAATTACAAAATGAAGGAGCTACACTTGCAAGAAGCTGGGACATACCATAGACAAACAGAAAATAGAAACACCTTTTTACTATTCCTGGCACACATACACACACAAACAGAAAACAAACATTTTTTTACTATCCCTGGCAAAAAACCTGGCAAGCATTCCAAACAAAGCAGAGCCTAAAATATGTGCTACTGGACTATTTACAGAAAAAATTTACCAGTCCCTGTGATGTATGGTCAAAAATTACCTTTAAAAAGAGCTATTATATTATCACCTTGGCCAGGCGTAGCAGCGCACACTTGGAATCCCAACAGTCTGGGAGGCCAAGGCAGACAGATCACTTAAGCTCAAAAGTTCGAAACCAGCCTGAACAACATGGCGAGACCCGGTCTCTACATAAAAACACAAAAATTGGCCAAGCATGGTGGTGCACGCCCACAGTCCCAGCTATTTGAGAAGGTGAAGTGGGAGGATGGTTTGAGCCTGGAAGATGGAGGGTGCAGTGAACTAAGACTGCGCCACTATACTCCAGTCTGGGTGACAAAGTCAGACTCTGTGTCCCACTGAAAAAAGAGTGATTAAGACCTATTTAAGATATGTGCCTTATTTCCCTACTGATGCAACAGAAAATACAAACTTTACCTGTAGTTCCATAAACTCTTCCTCCTGTCTTGATGTTAAGATTTACAGGTGCTGTACCATAACTCCTAAAAACAAACAAACAAAAAACCAAAAATTATCCTGAAAAGCTTAAACAAAGTAGTAAAATTTCTATTTTTATTTTTCTATTTTTTATAATTTCTATTTTTATTTTTTAAATTTTGGATAGATGAGATCTCACACCATGTCATCCAGGCTGGTCTCGAACTCCTGAGCTCAAGCAATCCTCCCGCCTTGGCTTCCCAAAATGCTGAGATTACAAGAGTGAGTCACCGTGCCCAGCTAACACACATTTTAAAAAAACATTTTAAACTAGTTTCTAAAGTCACTTGCTCAATAAAAGGCAAAAACATTAAAAAAAAAAAAATGACTTGTTTCCATTTCAAAAATCTCTTTGCCACTAACTCAACATTCTACTGTAACAAACTTCACAAGAAATAAGGCTAAGAAGGGAAACATAGTTTATACCCCTTTTCTTCATTTCCTTGCCTGCCAGTTATTACACATACAGCAATCTTAAGCATAAGTAAAATTCCTCCAACTTGTTGTTAAATCCAGTGGCCTTTCAGTTCTTCCCGCAGTTGATATTGTTAATAAATCCTTTTTCAACCATTCATGGAGTCCATAATAGACATTTATTGTCATGAAATTCAAAAATAAGTCTAGCATGAAAGCAGAACAGTGTTTACTGGTGGTGGGTGGTTAATGACCAAGAGGAAAAATGAGAGAAACTTCTAGGATGCCAATTATGTTTCGTATCTTGATCTGGTTGTAGTTACATGAATGCATATATTTGAAAAAAGTATTAAGCTGCACCTTTTTAGATGTAATATAATACACAGCGATAAAGAAAAAAATTTCTGAAGTTGGACCAATCCACATTCAAATGTTTTGTCAGTGTAATCTTGGCCAAGACATCTAAGACTCGTATGTAATTATTTGAATATTTCATTGCATTTATACTTGTATAAATGAGCCTCATATAAATTTTCTGTAAGGGGTTACAGATAGTTCTTCACCTTTTTTATATAATGGATTCTTATATATGCATAGTATTATCAAATATACTAATTAAAATAGACTTTTCTGTTACTAGGGAAATTAGAAGAAAACAGGAATGGGCAAAGAAGGACCAACTCCCACTGAACAAAAAGATATCAGTAAGACAGCAGGTGATGGCTCACACCTGTAATCCCAGCACTTTGGGAGGCTGAGACAGGCAAATCACGAGGTCAGGAGATCGAGACCATCCTGGCTAATACGGTGAAACCCCCTCTCTACTAAAAAATAGAAAAAATTAGCCAGGCGTGGTGGCGGGCACCTGTAGTCCCAGCTACTCAGGAGGCTGAGGCAGGGCAATGGCATGAACCCGGGAGGCAGAGCTTGCAGTGAGCCGAGAACACGCTACTGCACTCCAGCCTGGGCCACAGAGCGAGACTCCGTCTCAAAAAAAAAGATACCAGTAAGACCTCAAGTCATAGGTATTTTCAATGATATATTTCTCACATTATATTCATGTGACATATTTGGTTCTTTTCTCTCAGAAGTTCAGCCATCTGGACTTTAGATTCACTGCTTTGGGTCTAATAATAATTACTTCCATCTTTTGTCTCTAATGTACTAAATATAAGACTTAGGTTGAGTTACATTTGCACTGTCATTTTTCTTTTTCACTTAAAAAAGAAAAACGTAAATGCAATAAAAAGTAATTGTATCAAATAATTGTAGCTTCACAGCTAGAAATGCAAGAATTACAAAGTGGACCAAATATTACTGTCAAGCAGTACTATCGTCACCAACTTGAAATAATCACTTTATAGACTGATTAATTCATGTAATGCTTACTGAGCACCAAAACCATGTCAGGTATGATTCTAGGCTAAGGAAAAAGTATGAGGAGCTGGACAAATTTGGTCCCTGCCTTCACGATGTTTACATTTTAACAATCCAAATTCAGCAAAAGTGACTTAGTGCTATCTACTTATGATGTACATGATTTTTCTACAAATGTAGAAAAATCAAGGATTTTCTCTAAACTGTTCTCTTACAGGACTGCTATAGAATAAAATGGCATTTTTATAAAAGGCTTAGCCCTAAGTCTTCAACAGATGAGCTTCTTTGCTTTCCATCTAGCTACTTTCTATTCCCCATTCTGCCTTTTAAAACATCATTTTTCTTTTTCAAGCCACAAGCCTTTGTATTCATTCTGCGTAGAGAAGCTTAGTGGTATGAAAATTTGCAGAGGCAAATTTGATAAAATGTCCAATAGATCCCCATGAACTCTCAGACCACTCTAAATGCTAGATCCTATACTTGGATTTTCTATAGGAATTTCAAAATAAACATGTCAAATGAATCTATTTTGTGGGAGGTGGGAGGAGTAGCGCCCACCTGGACCCAATTAACTGCTCTAGAAATCTTTAAGTCCCTTTATCTCCTCCTCCATCCACAACCAACCAGTTACCCATGTTATTTGTTATTTCTTTCTTTTTATTCTTTGAGACAAGATCTTACTATATGGCCCAGGCTGCCCTGAAACTCCAAGGCTCAAGCGATCCTCCTACCTCAGCCTCCCAAGTCCATGGGACTACAGGTGTATACCACATGCCTGACTATATTTGTTTCTCAAATATTCAAATATACTATTTTTCCATTCATCTCTCTACTACTGCTGCCTTAGTCTAGATTATCATCTTACCTGGACAACTACTTCACATCTATTAGTCAATGTCTCTCCATCTAACCCATCTCAACTACTGATGCTACAATGGTTTCTACTCTATAGAAATCTAAAGTGTCTAAAGGTAATACCTTTTCAAATAATATAATCTATCTAAAAACCTAATCGGGGTGTCTAAGTGAGAGAATACAGTCATAGGTCCTCAGTTTCTGTTCTGGTTAGGCCAGTAAAGCCCCTTCATCAACCCTCTTTTCCACTTATCACTGGAGACAGAAACTAAAAACCACGGCTTTGGGCAGCTAAAAGCCTAAAACAAACCAAAACAGAACAACAACAACAACAACAACATAACGTCAGCTGGTTGGACAACCTTGCAAGGTCTACAAAGACATAGCAAATGCATCCTAACTCCTTTCATAAGTGATTTCAACCATCTCTTTTCATCTACCTTATCCTCCAGCCATGTACTTCCTCCAAGCCATGCATCTACTACATTTATTTTTAAGCAGTGTCCTCCACCTAAAAACCACTGTCTCCCATCTCAAAAACTATTCAAATTCAAATGTCACCTCTGGGATCTTCTCTTCAATACCTGTAGGCTTTCAGCAACTCTCCTCTCAAACTTTTCTAATCACTTTGTACATGTTTCTATTGTAGCACTTATGTTGCACTGAAAATATTTACTCACATGTCTGTTTTCCTCACTACCTCTGGAAAATAATAACTTCCTGTATTCTCATCAATTAATACATTCACAAATAAAAAAATTGCTGCTTTCATGTAACTCTATCTAATTTGTTGACTCCAGGAAATTTCATGATGATTTTACCAAGAGTTCTTTTGTAGCACGGTAAATGTAAAAAAAATATAATAATGGAATGATCATAGATGGTTTAATAAAGGCACATTATCTTTGCTACTTAACACAGTGCCAAATAAATTATGCCTTTAAAAAGTATTTATTGAGTATATAAATGGATGAATCTCACAGAGATAGGTAACAAACTACTTTCCAAGATAAATTATTCCTACTTTAAGACTTGGTTTTCTTCATACCTTACACACATATAAAATGAACTTGTAACAAAGGTATGTTACCTAAAAAAACAACCTGTAACAATTTACAATAAATCAATTCAGTACTATTCCTTTAACACAGTTTGTTCTTTAAATTTGCTTCTGAAAACGCTGCGCATAAGTAAATGTTTATCAATTCATTTTCTCACGGACTTTGTTTTCAAGGGATATACCCTGAAATACAGAGGTTAAGCAACTTTACACTCTTCACAAATACTTGTACTTCACTTTGGAAATTCATAAAATGAACAAAAAATAAATCAACTGATAAATGGGTAAAGGCATAGATAGAGGGATATGAGTTCAAGCAAACAAAGCAAAATGCAGATTGTATAATCTAGGTGATAGGTAAATGAGCAGTCACAGGTCAATTCCTTCAACTTTTGTGAGTATTGGAAAATTTTCATAATCAAATGTCTAAGGGGAAAAAACCTTCAGAAACAATTGTAACTAAATAACATTCAGTTTATTTAGTCAATAACCATTTACGGCACACTTACTATATTTAAGGCAATATGAGGAAGAGAAAAATTCATAAATCAGTTTCCTGTTTTTTTGAAGAGTTTTGAATACAATGGTTTCTACTCTATAGAAATCTAAAGTGTCTAAAGGTAATAAATATGTATAAACATAATTACAATGCATAAAACTAAAAACTGCTGTAAGAAATAAAGTTTAGTAAGGTACTACGAAAGTCCACATATATTTAATATTTGAGTGCAATTTCTACCAAAAAAAGGTACCATTCACAATCCAAAAAAATTGTCATTTGCTTCAAATTGTTCTATAACTTGCAAGTACAAATAATTTTATATAATATTTAATGAACATGCAATTATTATAATTTTATATAAGTGTTTCTTTTGCATAATACAGACAGTAAAGGCCTATTATTAGCAGAAAACCCTACTAGTACTACAGTATAAGCCCAACTTTCTCATTAAGTAATTATTTACTTTCCCAAATGAGAATGAGGAGCACATTTAGAATATGCACCCCTAACATGAAAAACTAGCCTCTTTACTCTGTTCCCTAAAAAGGTACTAGGATTTTAAAATTACATGGGTACATGTATCATTACTATAATACAAAACTGACTATGACAATAACTGAACTGGCTTTAAGCTTCCTGAAATGACTTTTGAAAACAAATGACTCTACTAATAAAATATTTAACAATATTTTTGTATATACTAGTTGATTCCAGATGAGGTTGCTTAATGAACTACAGTGAAATTAATGTATTTTATGTTTCCAATGCATAAGCTATAACAACATTATACAGCCAATCTGAAAAACAAAACACATTAACTCTTATTCTCGTATTGTAACTAAATCACAATTCGTACTTCAATGCATTTCCCTTCCAATCTTTCTGTGAGATTCTTTATGTGCTCAATGCGTCAATGACAGTCCATTCACTTGGTCCAGTTTATAGAACACAAAATTTGAGACAAACATTGGCCTAAAAGGCCTACAGGAGAATTAAAAACCTGAAAACACTATTAACAACAAAAAGAAATACTTTTGATATTGTTTTTATTGGACAAAAAAATTAAAAACCTCAACTCAGGTCTGGATAAGTAATAAAGCGAAACAATAAGCACAGATACAAATTACAATTTAAGGATTTCTAATTCTAAACAAAGAATTTATAGTATTTTTTTTTCCCTTGAGACAGAGTCTCACTGTTATCCAGGCTGGAGTGCAGTGGCTCGATCTGGGCTCACTACAACCTCCACCTACCAGGTTCAAGTGATTCTCCTGCCTTAGCCTCCGAGTAGCTGGGATTACAGGCACCCACCACCACGCCTGGCTAATTTTTGTATTTTTAGTAGAGATGAGGTTTCACCATGCTGGTCAGGCTGGTCTTGAACTCCTGACCTCAGGTGATTCACCCACCTCAGCCTCCCAAAGTCCTGGGATTACAGGCATGAACCTCCATGACTGGCCTAGTACTCAATTCTTTTATAAAAGCACTTTAAATTCAGGATCAAAAACTGCTGCTTCCATGTACCTTTGCCTAATCAGTTAACTTTATTTTAGGAAAGAAGTATCTTCATGATGAAACTTTAACAAGAGTTCTTTTATGTTAAAATAGAAAAACGTAAAAACAATGGAATCAACCACTGAGAGATTAATATAGGCACACTCTCTTTGCTATATAGCGTTTACACAATTGTTACTTACTAAAAGATAACATACCCATACTGTGGTGCTCCCGTTTTAATGTCTCCTATAGTGACATGAACATCATCTTCATCATCATCGCTGTCACTATCACTATCATCTTCAGTCTCAGTCACTTTCTACATGAACATAAACAAATTATAACATACATTCAATAATCCATTTCAACATCTAATACTAATAACTAAAAAAAGTAACCACCCTGTTTTTTTTTCTTTCTTCTTTCTTGAGACAGAGTCTCACTTTGTCACCCAGGCTTGAGTGCAGTGGTGTGATCTCAGCTCACTGCAACCTCCGCCTCCCAGGTTCAAGCAATTCTCCCGCCTCAGCCTGTAGAGTAACTAGGATTACAGATGCCCACCACCATGCCCAACTAATTTTTGTATTTTTAGCAGAGACAGGGTTTCACCACGTTGACCAGGCTGGCCTCGAACTCCTGACCTCAGGTGATCCACCCGTCTTGGCCTCCCAAAGTGCTGGAATTACAGGTGTGAGCCACTGCGCCCGGCCCCACTCTGTATTTTTTTGAGATATAATTTAAAAGTTACAAGCTTATAATGCTGCCACCTATTTCAACTCATAATTTTGATGTTCTACATAATAAAAAGGATAAGACTATGAATAAAGAAATGAAATCTTTTTTAGCATCATCTCCTTTTGGTAAACAACACCTCATATATTTTTTTTTACTATTATATCTGCCCCTCTTGCAAAAAGGATCTAAAGCAACTTACTAAGATATCTACAAAATAAAACTATAAAAAATACATATTTGAGAATTCTTGGCAAAAAAAGAATCTAAGAGGAAAACAATTTTAAGATTCACAATGTCACAAATAAAAAGTACCAAATCAATTAAAGAATTAAAAAAAACCCAAAACATAAGAAGTACCAAATAGTTAAGTAGACGCTCAATTATTCTTGGTATTCTTGTATACCTAGAAGAGGCCCTACATGCAAATTCTACATTTGTGAAGATTTTACTTTGGCTCTTAAAGGCTATTTTGTGCTTAATCACATCATAGTAAATAAGTAGACGACATATGCAAAATACTTTTTGTACACAACTACAAACTTGCAGAACAGTAACTTCCTTCTTTTTATAGGATTAAAATGTACAAATATTCATAGGACCAGTGATACGTTCACCTCACAAAGTATCAAAGGCATGCAGGAATGCAGTCAGGGACTGTCACATACATTAAAAAGCACTGCTAAAAAATCACAACATTCAAAGGCTGTGGGACTCAAAACTTGTTCTGAAAACCAGGCACACTATATTCAGTAGATTTATAACCATTCAGTTCCTTGAAAGCAATAAACATCAAGCCTTTGCACATACTATTTTCCTCTGACATCTTTCTACTATTTCTTTTCCTCCTTGCTAATTCCTACATATGTTTTTGATAGCACCAGATGCAGTAGGAGATATAAGAAAGGGTCACATAACACAGGATACTGAAGGTAATGTAAAATGTCAGCTTGTTTTCTATGTAAACTGTGAAGCTATTGATAAAGATTTGTATCGGGAAAGTAACTGGATTTCAAAGCCTTATGTTACCGGTTTTGGTACACCATTTTCGGCAGTTTCATCTTCAATTCCAGATGGAGGATTAGCACTACAAACAAAAAAAATAAGTATACACGTCAGGCATTACTCTTCCGAAGTGCAGATAGGTTATATTAGTATTTCTAAGCTACATCTAATAAAGTCCCTAAAATTATTGTCTCCACTGGAGACAGTAATGGTAAAATCTGACGGTCGTATTCCCTGTTATTTCTAGTAACTTGCATAAAACAAGTACTCAACATTATAAGTAGAATGCAAATGCCAGGCTGGGCGCGGGAGCTCACACCTGTACTCCCAGCACTTTGGGAGGCTGAGGCGGGTGGATCATGAGGTCAGGAGTTCAAGACCAGCCTAGCCAAGATGATAAAACCCGAACCTCTACTAAGAAAGACATAAAAAAAAAATTAGCCAGGCATTGTGGTGGGCGCCTGTAAAACCAGCTACTCGGAGGGTGAGGCAGACATGGCTTGAACCTGGGAGGGGAGGTTGCTGTGATTATGCCACTGCACTCTAGCGGCAAAGAGTGAGAGGCGACTGTCTCAAAAAAAAAAAAAAAAGACGCAATTAATGATTTATAATTTGATGGTGGGCTGCGAAATTTCAAACTTTTTACACATTTAAAACTATATGACAAACTTAATCAATTTTAATTATCCTAAATCTTGTACTGAACATCCACTGTGTACCATGTACTACTACTACCACTACCCCAGACCTATGTAATACAGTTTCCTCGTTTTCCATGGTGTTCAAGAACTCAGATTGTGGTATAATCACATATAACTCTTCATGATTGTTAACATATACGCCTTCTTTCTTGGTTCTCTGTGTTACCAATCTATTGAGATACGTCTTTATTTGAATAAACATAAATTTAAGATTACGAAAAAAGTAATCTTCATTCAAGGCTGGTTCTCCATTTTGATATTAATAGAGGAGCTAATGTCTCATGAATGTTAAAAGTAATTACTTGTAAGACCAGTTAATGACTTCGAGCTTGTCATTTCACAACCAAAGACTGGCTATTGCAACAATAAAACATGTCACATTCCCATGAGAACCAAGCATATGGTCATTGTACCGGAGCAAATAACACTCGCAGTACCATAGCGTAATTGGTTTACTTACATTTTTTTAGTAAATAAAATTTCAACAGTGGCAATTAACCATCACCATCATTTAAGATAAAGAAAATTGATAGTACAAAGCAAGTAGCTGATTTGGCCAACTGTTTCATAAACTATTTGTGCATTCGTTAACAGAAAATGTCCCGATGTGGACACAGTTCAGAGGCACTTTTTCATTGATTTCTGCCAATCGTCTTCTGAACTGCACTTTTGTCGGGGGTAGTACTATGTAAATTCATTTGAACTTCGTACAGTGGCATTTTATACACAATCACCACAATAAAGCAAAATGAAAGATAAAAAGTCAAAGCTAACTTGTTTAAATTGTTTCATTGTCAGCTTGGCTTCAAGAAAACAAATATGCAGCTGTAATTGTTCAAGTACATTTACTCCTGCTGAAATAAGCTTATTATTTTGTTACGGGTAGCAGGGGAAACAAGTCCCATTGCTTTCTATGTCCACCAAGAAACAGATTCCTTTCTTTGAGTCAAAAACTTGGGTAGATATAACACAGATTGGAGTACTGTAGATGCAATGTTTAAGAGAAATAACAGAGGCTTAGCAATTAGCCTGTCAGCTAGCGGAAACTGGGGCAAATTCTAACAGCATGGAACTCTGTAGGATAGAGCAAGGGGCGAGTGAGATGTACCAAGCCAGATAGCAGTATGTGTTGGCAGAGTTCCTTTCCTTCAATGAGGTGCCTACTCTTTTGTAAGAAGTTTTTAAGTGTTTCTATCAGCCATTGAATTGTTAGAACACATGATAAAAATTTTAGCTTCTTTCTAGACAAAATAACCACTTACAGTGAATTTGTTTTTCCTGCCATAGGATGAAATCAACTCGTCATTTAATATTGGTTTCCCCCAAATGAAGTTAGAAAGAAATATAAGGCTATGGTTTGACAGTTGTGTTATTGGAATTTTGTAGGTTTGGTTGCCTCAATAACATCAGCAAGTTGGCGATTGTCTCAGTATATATATTATATTATTAAGTATGTTTTGATATGAAATAAGTATAATAAAAACGTACTCAAAGTAATTAAGAGCTTGATTTATGGACATAACCACAGCCAATTATTGTGTGTTAATATCGATATTTGAGTGCTATCTAGATAGGGATGTCTTATTTTGTGTGGATGCGGCTGTTGGGGGTAAGAGAAAGAAATCTCAGGGGTGTATTCAGTTAGGAAATAGTATTTTATTGTTGGTTTTTTGCATGTTTTTTTGTGTGTCATGATTGGTTTATTTATTGTTTGTTTCCGTTGTCTTCAGCGCCAAATATCCTTAAGCTGATAAGCAATCTTTCAGCAAAGTCTCAGGAACAAAAATATGGCAATAAAATACTAGTATTCTCGTATCAGTCTTATATGAGTATGATATCCAGGGAATGAACTTCCATTTACAATTGCTTCAAATGTGGATTTCATTTCTGTGTTATATTTTTATTCTTATTCTATTTGGTTTGAACTGTAAAGGACCTCTTCAAGGAGAACTACAAAACCACTGCTCAGTGAAATCAAGAGGACACAAACAAATTGTGTTTTTTATTTTAAACATACCATGCTCATGGGATTAGGAAGAATCAATATCGTGAAAATGCATACTGCCATAGTGTTAAGATCCTGTTGCCCATTCTTTTCTTTTTAAGCTACCAATGGACTTTCTTCACAGACATCTGCGAAAAAACTGCTTTTAAAGTCAATTATGGGAACGCAAAAAAGAGCCTTTGGTTTTCTCCAAGACAATCCTATTCAAAAGCAATGCTGGAGTCATTCACGCTACTTGACTTCAAGACTGTAACTACAAAGGCTATAGTAACCAAAACAGCATGGTACTGGTACCAAACCAGAGATTATTAGATCAAGTGGAAACAAGAACAGTAGATCCTAGAAAAGTATATTTCACAATCATACAGCCATCTGATCTTGACAAACCTGACAAAAAAACAAGAAATGCGGGAAAAGGATTCTACTATTGAATAAATGGTGTCTGGGAAAACTGGCCGTAGCCATAAGTAGAAAGCTGAAAACTGGATCCTTTCCGCTTACTCGCCTTATACAAAATTAATTCAAGACTTGATTAGGAGACTCTAAGATGTTAGACCTGAGATTGACCAATAAAACGCCTAGAGGAAAACCTAGGTAGCTACCTGCAGTGACATAGGCATGGGCAAAGATTGCATTCTAAGAACACCCAAGCCAACGGCAAGCAAAGGCCAAATTGACAAATGGGATCTCATTAACCTAAAGAAGGGTTCCTGGCAACAGCAAAGACAACTATCAGAGGTGAACAGGCAACCTACAGAATGGGAGAACAATTGTGGCAATTCTACTCATCTGACAAAGGGGCTAATATCCAGAACTACAAAGAACTCAAACCAAGTTTACCAACGGAAAAAAACGCAACACCCCTCCAAAATGGGCAAAGGATATATGAACAGACAGTTCTCAAAGAAGACATTCATGACAGCATCAGCACATGGAAAAACATGCTCATCATCACTGGCCAGTGCACACGAAATGCAGAATCAAAACCACAATGAGATACATCGTCACACCAGTTAGAAATGGCGGACCATTCAAAAGTCCAGGAAACAACAGGTGCTGGAGAGATGTGGGAGAAAATAGGAACCACTTTTTCACACTGTTGTGTGGGATTGGTAAATCTAGTTCAACCATCCTATGGGGAAAGTACAGTATGGCGGATTCCTCAGGATTAAAATAGATGGACCCATATGCACCCCCAGCCTCTCCTTACTGGGATAGTACCCCAAATAGGATTATAAATCCATTGGCTGCTATACAGACACTGCATCGCGTTGTTTATTGGGGCACTATTCACAATAGCAAAGACTTGATTCAACCCAAAAATCACATCAGTGCACAAGATTGGATAAGAAAATGTGGCACATATACCTATGGATACTATGCAGCCATAAAAAAGGAGTTGAGTTTGTAGTCCTTTGTAGGTGACACTGGATGCAGCATGGAACCATCATTCTTTAGAAACTATCACAGACAGAAACACCAAACACCGCCATTGTACTCATAGGTGGGCTGAACTAATGAGCATCACTTGGACCGGGCAAGGGGGACATCACAACACTGGGGCCTATCGATGGGGAGGGGGGAGGGGGGGAGCGGATTGGCATTGGGCAGTTGTACACCTGATTGTAAATGACGAGTTTGATGGGTGCAGCGACACCCAACATGGCACAAGTATCTCATATGTAACAAGACGCTGGCACGTTATGAACATTGTACCTAGAGACTTAAGTATAATAATAAATAAATAAATAAATAAATAAAAAATCAATGGGATAAAGATGATGATCATAGAGAGAAATATATTTGATTGTAAAACTATACCCTGTAATTAATTTCTTGACTAACTGAAGGAATGGATATAAAGAAATATTCAATCACATTCATAACATAAATTAAAACTAATCTCAACTTTGTGGTTGAGATCTGAATTAGGAAATGAGTTGAACACATAAATTTTAAAATGAAATAACATTTCAGATAATATATCAATGAGTGAAAAGACTATAGGGGATTTTTTGGGTAAGGAAGTTGAACTGTAGTTGCAGATCCTCCTAAGCTATTTCTACTTCCATTTCTCACTTTTTCCCTCTATTCATTTTTTGTCGTTAACAGCTTTGAGATGCAATTCACATATTACACAATCTATCCATTCAAAGAGGACCACTGAGTTTTAATATGTTCACATAGTCCAACCATCACAACTATCTAATTCCAGAATATATGCATCACTCCCAAAAGGAACTCTGTATACATTAGCAATCACTCACCCAACTCTTAGCAACCAGTAATCTGTCTCTATGGACCGGCTTCCCTTGCATATTTGCAAGGTTCGTCCATATTGTAACATCTACCAGTACTTCATTTTATTTTCCCTGCCAAATAATATTCCACGTATGGATATAACACACTTAATCTACCCATTCATCAGTTGATGCAGCTGCAAGGTTTTTTTTCCCATTTTCTATTAACAATGCTGCTATGAATATTCACGTACAAGTTTTTGTGTGAATGTTTTTCATTTCTCTAAGGTGGAGGGCTCATATGGTAACTCCATGTTTCACCATTTGAGAAAATGGTCAGGCTGTTCTTCAAAGCAGCCGCACCATTTTACAATCCCACCAGAAGTGTATGAGGGTTTTATTTCTCCATATCCTCACCAACACCTGTTTTATCTTTCTGATTGCAGCTTACTCGGTATGAAGTGGTATATCTTCCACTTTTTAAACCCAAATATTCTTTAAAATCTTCTACCTACCTCTCCATTACTGACACTAATGCAAGCGGTCAGGGTAAAGCCGACATCTCCATGTACTTCTTTGCATGGGTTGTTTTCTGAAATTCGGGGTAAAATTCTGACTCCCTGTATATGTTCTATAATCAAATACTTACATCTTTCTTATAATCTAACAAAGAAATCAATCTTATAACAAATCAGCTAATTACATTTTGAATGTAAATAATACATAGCATTGAAATTACAACCAAAGTGCCATTATACCATCAAAAATGTTAATAAACTGGAAAAGCAGTAGTTTGGAGTGTTCCTGATTTACTTAAAAACATTTTCAATTAAGTTAAAATATTTTTATCGGTAGCTTAATGATTATACTGTATAGTTCACTACTGAAGTCACTTAAGAGTAACAAGTTACTTAACAGTGTAAAATCAATCCAATCCTAAGTTCAAAAACTTTGTCCTTTAAACTATCAACAAACAGAATTGGCATAAGATTAGGTCCTGAAACTGGAATAACCTTTAAAGGATTCGATGTCCTCCAAAATGTTGTAAGTGTTGTAATGACGCCAATGATTGTAAGAAAATAATTTTGACAACTGACAGAACCATTGTATCACACAATCTGTGTAATAGGCATCAACAGAAAATTTCACTAACCTGGCATTTTCTTCTTCTGGCCTTTCAACTTCATTTTCATCTACCAAGTAAAATAAACAAATAAATAAATAAGCAAACAAAATAAAGAAACCACTCTTAAAGAAACTAGTAGTATGAAAATCTGAAGTGATCATCACAAGCACTAACCTAGGTCCTTTGTCAAATCACTGTGCACATGCACGTCCCATGGGCCTATAAGCACATCCAAAGTTAGATCACCTTATAATTACTTAACAAGATACGTATTTTATGGAAAAAAAAAAATCAGACTTTACTGGTATAAAAATAAGCTTAAACTTAAGAGGTACTGAAGATTTCCAGATCTTTGTAAAAGAAATCCTACACATTCACATTTCAAAGACCAATGCTAAATCTTGCCACCAAAGATAATGTTTTTTTTTTTTTTTTACAAGTTTATCAAAGTTACATCATCAAGGACCTGCGTGGTGCCCAATGTGCACTTTTACTATTCTATTCTAAAGACAATCAAGAATGTATGTTTTAGGCAAGGAACAAACATTAAGTTTCAAATCTGGTGTAACAGGCAAGAAGGGATTGTGAATCAACGAAAGTTAAAAACCAGATGTCCCTTCTAGAGAGAAGTACATGATGCATTAAATTTATTTTGAGAAAAAGAAATATATGAGATGACACTGAAAACTATAAGCCGAAGGGTCATGAGATACCTCCATGATGTAGGTTAAACGGCAGTCTCTTAAAAAAGAAAAACTTCACCTTAATACAGGAGACATTCAGGGTTTTCTTTATGGGCCATCTTTCTCTCTCTCTCTCTTAATTAATTATTTTTAAAGCACGACTTTCAGACAAGGAGGTACCCTTGCAGGTGCATTCCATACAAACTGACCATCAAGAAACAAGACGTTAGTTGTACAGCATTAACTTTATTTCGCTATTATTACAGAATGACTGTTTCTGAAAGAAGGGACAGGAAGGGCACCCTAAGGCCACGGGGTAAAAACAGACACAAAAAACCACCACCTCAGAATCGACAGAAAAAAACAAGGGTAAAGAGCGTAGCAGCGAGGCGACCGAGACGCCCCAGGGAAAGCACGGCGAAGCCGGGGGCCGGGACCAGTCACAGCCCCCCAGCCCTGCCCGGCCGCCGCAGGGTGGGTGCGTATAGTGGGCTTGGGCCAGGCGGGAGACCGCCGCGGGAGCGGGGGGCACGCGCACGCTGCGCTCGGCCTAAGTCAGGCCGGACAGGACTCCCAACCAGAGGCCCGAAGGGGCGGCGCGAGGGGCCGGAACGCCGGCCGTTTGAGGGCCAAGAGGGGAGGCCTAAGAGAACCCGAGAAAGAGACAGGGACAGGAAGTTTCGTACCGCCATAGAGCCACTCTTCCTCCTCATCCCCTCCGGTCCCGCCGCTCAGCTCCGACACTAGGCGCTCGACCTCGCCGGCCGACATGGCCGCCCCGAGCGCAACTTAAACGCGGCGATCAACAGCCCCCTCCAACCCCTTCCCAGCCTCTCAGCCCCGGGGCGCGAGAAGGGCGCGAACCCGCCGGCGAGCGAACGAAGAAAGCTCGAGACTCAAATCCCAGGAAGGCGGCAGCAGCGGTGGTAAAGATGAAGACTCCAGCGCGGATCCGCCTGCGCATGCGCAGCAGACCCAAGCGGCGCGGCGTCTATAGGTGGCTTCGCTTCCGCGGCGGCGGCCACCTGGGCCTGGTTGCGCCTGCGCGCTGAGGTGGGCCCTGCCCCTCTAGGATCCCGCTTTGCTGTTTAGCGTGGCTTCCTCTCGTTGCATCCTGAGTAGTCCAGGGTTCCCCGCCCCCACCCTTCCCTTTAATAACCCGTATTGCCATTGCTAGCGAGTACACCATTGTTCCCTTCCACTCTTCGTGCTCTTTCTTCTCAACCTTTTCTTTGCTTTTTAATCTTCCGAAAGGCCGCCTTTTATTCTTTAATCAGCCTTGATACAGAATCATTACCTGTCACTCCCTTTCCTCACTGAATGGAGAAGAAATCACAGTCAGTACTATTTCTTGAAAAATTAATTTTCACAGCCAACAAAAGCAAAACTAATAGATGAAGAATGCACCCTCCTTTTTAAAAACCATAAATTACTGTCAAGGTCAAAGACTGCCTCATTCCCCTACCCTTCTCTCCAGAGGTAGCCCTTGTTACAGATGCATATCCTGTTTGGAGTTCATCATTCTGAAATTTCCTATACACTTACTTCCTGTGTTGTACTGTTTTGGTGGGAAAACCTGAGACTGACAAGTCTTAAATAGTACAGTATAGTATAGTATCATCCGGCAACTTCCTTTTTTTTGGTTAGCATCCGTGTCTTGGAGCTGTTTTGCATTTTTGTGTGAGTCAAACTATATCCATTTTAAGTGCTTCATAAAATTGCATAGTATGGCTATCACAGAGTGAATATGGCTATTTCTCCATTGGTGTACACTCAGATTGCTTTCGACTTTACACTTTTAACTGCAACAAGAAACGACAATGAAGATCCTTGTGGCTTCTTGAGATTTGTCTGTTTCTCGAAGATAGATCATAAAGTATGTACAGTTTTTATTTTAATAGGTAAACCAAATGTTCAGGCCACTTCTGAAAGCACATCTTTAAGTGAAAAGATGACATACTGTGCTTCAAACTGGAGCGCCAGGTTTTTTGTTTGTTTGTTTGTTTATTCATTTGAGGTGGAGTCTCGCTCTGTTACCTAGGCTGGAGTACAGTGGTGCCATCTCTGCTGACTGCAACCTCCACTTCCTGGGCTCAAGTGATTCTTCTTCCTCAGCCTCCCAAGTAGCTGGGATTACAGGCACGCGCCACCACGCCCAGCCAATTTTTCTATTTATAGTAGAGAGGGGTTTCACCATTTTGGCCAGGTTAGTTTTGAACTTCTGACCTCAGGTGATCTGCCCACCTTGGTCTCCCAAAGTGCTGGGCTTACAGGGATGAGCCACCACGCCTGGCCTGTTTGATTTTTTTTGTGTGTTGTTTTGTTTTTTAAAACAACAACAACAACCATCTTGCTCTGTAACCCAGGCTGAAATGCAGTGGCAGGGTCACTGCTCACTGCAGCCTCTACCTCCCAGACTCAAACAGTCCTCCCACTTCAGCCTCCTGAGTACCTGGGACTACAGACAAGCAGATGCCACCACACCTGGCTAATTTTTTATTTTTCTTAGAGACAATGTCTCACCATGTTGCCTAGGCTGGTCTGGAACACGTGATCTCTAGCAATCCTTCCACCTAGGCCTCCCAAAGTGCTGGGATTACAGGTATGAGCCACCAGGCCTGGCCTCAGTTCTTCATTATACTTAGCAGGTTGTATAGTCAGGCAATCAACCTTTCTATGCTTCAGTTTCCTCATCTATAAAATGGAAAGGCTAAATTAAATTACCTCTGAGGTCTCTTTCATTTATAAAGTTTACAAACAGGGCATTCACTTGTCAACAGAGAGAAATCCATTTTAATTGAACAAATAAATGAGTTTTCTTGCTCCTCAATGAATAAATATTGTTTTATCATTTATTTATTTAGCAATTACAGAATATCTGCTCTGTTTAAGAACTTGGAAAATGAAAACATGAGTGAAAGAGTCCCAGCCCTTAAAGAGCTCTGAAGTTATTGAGAAAGACAGGGGCGGTAAACAACTCTCCTACAAAAGAAAAGGTGGCTGTGTTGTAATAGAAGCACAAGTGAAAGGTTATGCCCAACCAACACTGCACCATCTCACATTATTTAAACAAACCATGTGATTTTAATCTTTCTTACCTTTGAACACACTTCTACCTGCTATTCCCAGCTCCCTTATCTTTTTATGATAATCTCTTGCATCCTTCTAAACTCTGGGGGTATAATCACCTTTGTGAAATCTTTCCTGAATCCAATTTTATCTCTTCCCATTTGTTTTGCCAGGAACTCTTCCAGCTATGTAAATTCAACAGTGAATAAAACGAAGTTATTTCTTTGTTTCTTTGAGAGTCAGATAATAAACATATGAATGTATGATATTTCATGATGATAAGAATTATGAAAAGAGTAAGCAATATAAAATGAAGGGATGGGGTGCAATTTTGTATGGAGTGGTCAGGGAAAGCTACTCTGATGAAGTGATGTAAGAGACTTGAATGGAGACAGGAGGTAAGCCCCGTGGATTTCGGGCTGGCAGGCTATCAGACAGAGGAATAAGAAGTGCAAAGGCCCTGAGGCAGAAGCATACTTGGCATGTTCAAGAAACTCAAAATGTAGCTCAAGTATAGTGAGTGAGAGAGAATGCAGATGAGTTCAGAGGTATTAGGGGCGTGAGTGGGACAGAGAAACTCATTCCTTCTAGACACCATGCCGCTTCTATGCCATGTGCCTGTCACACTGTGTAGTAATTATTTGACTACATTTCTGTTTGCCTCAGGCTCTTCACTAGACCAAGTCCACCTCCAAACAGGGCATCCCATAGCCATCACTTCCATTCCTAGTACAGTGCTTAACGCTGGGTAAATCTTTTTGGTCACTGTTGAAAGTAATAGAATGAAGTTTTACAGACTGTTTGTGAGTATTGTAAGGCAATCACTCACAGTCCTGTGTATTTATCTTTCTGTTTATTTAATTGGTTTCATGAGAAAACCAGTTGCCTTTTGTTAAGGGATCTTTTTCTCTTTTCAGCTGTCTTTCAAGGCATTGCTTAAATATAACTGAAGAAATGATGAATCCTTGATGAATATCTTTTGTGGTAGAGGTAGCATTTGAGCTAAGCTTTGAAAATGAAGATTTCCATGAGAAGAGAAGCATATAAATCACTAATAACTACTCTGAAAGCACCTCTTCCTCCTTACTTCTAAGCTGAGTTTCTTGCCTGAATATGCTTTCTTAGTTAAAGGTGTCTTTCTCTCCCTACTTACCAAGGGAGACATCAAAGGTAGGTAGTTTGAAGATATTATATATTCCTCCTTCTATTTCTTATATTATGACCTTATCAATCTACAATGCGCCATATATTCTGTTTGTTTTCCATTTTATTGTTGTTTTGTGGTCTGTTGGTTTCTGGCAAAAAAATTAAAAGATAAGTTTTAATGTACTTATCTCTGAGAAGTACTGAGAGTGTTTAGTAGATGATGATGAATTAAATGATGACAAGAATTGGAGATCAAATAAAAATGTCTTGCTCACTATCCAGTATATATAGCGAGTACACATAAATGTGTTTGGCATTCATATGACGTTTATGCCCAACTGTGCTCTTTGCTGTCATGTACATTTCAATGTTCCTAAATTCTCAGTGTTCTTAAGTTTCCTCAGCAGTAAATTGATACATTAAAATAACATTTGTACCCATTTTGGGGAAGAATAACAAAGCTAAATTGAGGCTTCAAATGCCGAAGCATCTGGCGAGGCACGGTGGCTCACACCTGTCATCTCAGCACTTTGGAAGGCTGAGGCAGGTGGATCACCTGAGGTCAGGAGTTCGAGACCAACCTGATCAACATAGCGAAACACTGTTTCTACTAAAAACACAAAAATTAGCTGGGCATGGTGGCATGCACCTGTGATTCTAACTACTCAGGAGGCTGAGGCAGAAGAATCACGTGAACCCAGGAGGAGGAGGTTGCAGCGAACCAAGATCACGTAATTGCATTCCAGCCTGGGTGACACAGCAAGACTCGGTCTCAAAAAAAAAAAAAAAAAAAAGTCAAAGCATTTGACAAGTTATTGACAAGCAGGTAATGTGTTGTTTAGGCCTTCTCTTCTTTGAACAAGGAAAGTAATTGTACATGTGTAGAGCTTTCCTTCCTCTTTATGTACTTCCATGATAAATTGTAATTCCAGTGCTTTGGGAAGCCAAGGTCAGAATATGGTTTCAGTCCAGGAGTTCAAGCCAGCTTGGGCAACACAGCAAGACCCTGTCTCTATATAAAAAAAAAAAAAAAAAAAGAAAAAAATTAGCCATGTGTAGTTGTGTGCACCTGTAGTCCTAGCTACTCAAGAGGCTGAGGCAGGAGGATTGCTTGAAGTCAGGAGTTTGAGCCTGCAGTGAGCTATGATTGTGCCACTGCACTCCAGCCTGTGAGACACAGTGAGATTCTGTCTCTGAAAAAAAAAGTGTTCCCTCCCTGAATTGTAGAGGCCAAGTTACTTTCTTTAACCCTAACTTCATATTCTTCCAACTTTTTTAACTTCTCATTCCCCTACCACTTTGTTTTCTAGGAAATGTAATTTCTAGAAGCTGCATTTTCCCCAATCCATTGACTCATTCTGCACTGCACCCCCAGCACTCCCTTGTCATGACTGCACTTTCTTTCTGCATAGGTCAAATCCTGTAGAGTCTTCTCATATTCCATCTCTTTTCCCTTTTCTGACACTTGCCACTGTTGGCCAGTCTATTCTTAAAACTTGCACCTCTCATTACTTCATTCACTGGCTTGACTTCTTCTGCCCATCAAGAAAAGTTGCTCAGAGTTCTCTCCATCACCAACATTGTCTTCTTTCTTTTTTGTGCTCTTAAGGCACTCTGAAGCACATCCATTTACTAATGATCCCAATTGCCTTATTTCTCTTCTGTATTCCGGAATCATACATCCAACAGCATGCTAGACGTTTCTGCCTGGATGTCCCATAAGTATATTGAAAACAACATGTCCCCATGCCCATTAGGATGGCCATTATCAAAAAACCCAGGAAATATCAAGTGTTGGCAAGGATGTGTAGAAATCCGAACCCTTGTGCAGTATTAGTAGGAATATAAAAGGTTGCAGCCTCTGTAAAAAAAGAACAAAACAAAACAAAACAAAAATAGAGGTCCGTCTAGAAGTTAAAAATAGAATTACCATATGATCCAGCAGTTCCACTCTGGGTGCAAGTACAAAAGAACTGAAAGCAGGATTTGTAAGGAAAGAAAACCATACACCTTTAGGGAGTGATTGAAATTTGTATGTGTCACTTCCAACTATCTTATTCACCCGTGCTTCATCATTTGTCCATAGCTAGCTGCAAGAGGCTTGGAAAAGTAGTCTTTAGCTGTGTGTTTATGTATTCAGAATAAACCTATTACTACAGAAGAAGAGACAAATACATATTGAGGCAACCACTAGCAGTTGCTGGCACAATATTCAACCCTGACTTTATGAGTGCCTTGAAGTATTTCAGAGAAGATGAAGTATTAATTCACTCAAACTTATCTAATGAATGTATGATTCAGCATGAGATACAAGGAATAGAAACAAAAAGTGAGCTTGAGATCAGGATTAATGCAGGTGCTAGTAACTAGGCACTGACTTGGGTTTAAATTGAAGAGCAAGGGTTGTGATCTAACAACTTATTCAACTTAACCTTCTTAAAATAATTTTCATGCTGACAAGGATACAAACATGGAGGAATATCTTCTTGTTTGCTGGTTCAACACAGGAACTTTGGTCTATCATTGGCCCTTTTACCTACTGGGTTCTACCAGGTATATGACTCTTCTGCTGCATATTTAAGGTGGCATTATTCACAGTAGCTAAAGGTGGAAGCAGACCAAATGTCCAGAGGCAGATGAATGGATAAACAAAATGGTGTAACATCCAATGGAATGTTATTCAGCCTCAAAAAGAAAGAAAAATCTGATGCATGTTACAATATAGATTAACTTGGAGGACTTAGCATAAAGTGAAACAAGTCAATCACAACAAAACAAATACTGTATTGTTCCACTTACGTGAGGTAGCTAGAGTAGTCAACTACTACCTTGCCAACAACTAGAGTAGTCAACTCATAGAAACAGAAAATAGAGTGGAAGTCGCCAAGGGCTGTGGAGAGGGGAAATGGGGAATTGTTGTTTAATGGGTACAGGATTTCAGTTTTGTGAGACAGAAAGTTCAGAGATTGGTTATACAACAATGTGAATGTACTTAATGCCATCAAAATGTACATTTTACAATGGTTAAGATGGTAACTTTTCTGTTACACTTATCTTGCCATAAGGAAACAAATAAACAAAAATATGTCCCCACTAAACTCTGTGTTTATTCCACAATCTGCTTCTCTTAATGGTTTTTCAAATCTCAGTGACCGGCATTTACCAGTCATCCAGACAGAAAGCTGGGTGCTAACCTGAAATTCTCCTTCCATGTCACCCTCTCTGCCAAATTAATAAGCAAACTCTTTGACACTATATTCTTAATGTCTCTTCACACTCCCCACTCTGTCCATCTGCTTGTTATGCTTTTCAACTCTCTCACCCAGAGTTGCTGCTGATACTGTCATTTTCTTAACTGCTCCCTCTGCCCTAAATTGCTCCATTTCAAGTTATTTTCCATGTTTTGACTAGAATCATTTTTTTTCTAAAATCCAGATGTGAACAAATTATTTCCATACCGCAAAATACATTAATAGTTCCCCACCGGCTGCTACTCTTTAGAATGGAAAATAAGGCTCTTGCTGATCTAGTCCATTTCTTTCTTTTCTAATTCCTTGCTCTTATTACTTCTTGCGCCTTGTTTTCATACAATGCACTTCAGCTATAGGAAACCGTTTGTAGTTCCAGAGAACATGTTGTACTGTCTTATGCCTCTACAACTTTGTTTATGCTGCACTCTGGGCCTGGACTGCTAAGAATCCTCCTCCCCATCCCGTCCACCTGGTGAACACCTGGGTTTCTCTGAAGGCAAGTCAAAACTCATGCCCTATATGAAGCTTTTTCTAACTACTTCCCTTTTCTCTTAGTCAGAATTTATTTTTCCTCCTTCGTAATTCCTGTGCAAACATTTAAAAAAAAAATTTGCTTCTGTAACATTTTATTGCACTTGTTTTCCGTGTGTGGGTCCCTTTATTTCATTATAATTATTTTGAAATATGGGCTGTGGCTTAGTTTTCTTTATATCCTTAATACCCAGACAGTGTTTGGAATATTGTACATATTTATTAAAAATTGACTGGATATATTATTATGTGGATATTAATTATTTATTTTTATTTATTTATTTTTTATGGTGTCTTGCTTTGTCACCCAGGCTGGAGGGCAGTGGTGCGATTTTGGCTCACTGCAACCTCTGCCTCCCGGGTTCAAGTGATTCTCCTGCCTCAGTCTCCCGAGTAGCTGGGATTACAAGTACCTGCCACCATGCCCATATTTTTAGTAGAGACGGAGCTTCACCAGTTTGGCCAAGCTAGGTGATCTGCCCACCTCGGCCTCCCAAAGTGTTGGGATTACAGGCATGAGCCACCGCGCCTGGCCATGGATATTAATTGAACATTCATTCAACAAACATTTATTGAACACCTGTTATAAGTGTTGGGGATAACAAGCATCTACTGCATAATTTAGTAAAACAGATAGTTTAAAGAAACTAGGTGTTAATACTTACCCCATGATATGGCATGTACTTAGCAAATGTATCAGTTGAGAGGTTTGGTAGGTGGGGGAAGGGAGAGGCAATAGGGTGATAGTGGTGGTGAGTTAGAAAAAGTCTATTACAGGCAGTACTGTTGGAATGATTATTTTTGGTAAGTTTACCAGGTAAATTCTTTGTGGATTAGGTAATGAATTTTGTTAACCATTCATCTTTGAAGCTTAGCACAGAGATTATACTTAGTAATATAAGTATATTGGTGGAACAAACAACCCATAAAACATTTGGGGTTCAGCCTGTTGACTTCATTGTATTGGTACTATTTTTCTCCAGGTTGGGAATAGCTGGAGAGAAATTGAGAAATCATGAAGGATGTTGATGCTTTTTAAAGAGTATACCTGACTGTAGGCAACTGGGCTAGGGGAGGCTTTTAAGCAGGAAAGTTGTAGGACCAACTTTGTTTATTAGGAAGAAAATAGAATCGGAGGGGGAAGAGATCGAAAGCCAGAAAATGTTGGGAGATCATTGTCCGGGTGAGCGATGCTGTTGGGTTTTTGTGACAGCAAGAATGCAGAGGAAGGCTGAATTCTAAGAGTTTTGAAGCCTATCAAGATGTAGTGACGATGAGATGAGGGAGGAAAGATGGAGAAAGTGAAAATGAGAACAACAGGGTTTGTTATGAGGCTTGTGGGCAATAACGTATGTGGCAGCAATCTATAAACCCAAAATATTGCACACGGTTGTTTTTATTATCTTTTTCTAGTTGCTCTGAGTTTAGATTGAGAATGTGGCTGTGCTTTTAGAGACGTGTTCATATCTAAGGAAGATATCAAATTTCGGATTAGGCTTTTATTTCGGAGACTTTTCAAGGAACATGAAAAGATTATCCGCGCAGACAGGCCGAGCGACGGAAAGAACTCAGTTCAGCTCCACCGCGGGGAACACTTCACCTCCGCGAACTTTTTGAGGAAGCCCAGAGCCACAGAGCCCCACCCACTTCTTTCCAGACCACACCATCCTTCCTCAATTCCGGCCTCCTCCTTAACCAATCACCGCTCAGTTCAACGTCATCACCGAGCGCCATCAGGTAGCGTGTCGGAGGCCGGACCACGTGTACTGTGTTGACTGTCAAAGTCTCTGGGAGCCCAATTTCCGGAAGCGGTGAGTTCAGAAAGAAGTTCCTGCACCGTAGTTCCCCAAGCCTGCGAATCCCCAACCATGAGCGCCTCAGGCGTACTGTCCTTTACCCAGCAAGGATGGGAGCAGGTGCTGGCCAAAGTGAAACGGGCTGTGGTTTACCTGGACTCCGCCTGCGCCGAGAGCCTGCACTGGGGCTGCGGATCCACCCGTCTCCTGGAGGCGGTGGGGGGTCCTGATTGTCACCTGCGAGAGTTCGAACCCGACGCAGTTGGTGGTGGAGCCAAGCAGCCCAAGGCGGTGTTTGTGCTGAGCTGCCTGCTGAAAGGCCGGACTGTGGAGATCCTACGGGACATCATCTGCCGCAGTCACTTCCAGTATTGTGTGGTGGTCACAGCCGTGAGCCACGCTGTCCACCTCACAGCTAATCATGTCCCAGCGGCGGCAGCGGCCGAGATGGAAGGGCAGCAGCCGGTGTTTGAGCAGCTGGAGGAGAAGCTGTGTGAATGGATGGGCAACATGAACTACACGGCCGAGGTGTTCCATGTCCCGTTGTTGCTTGCCCCTGTTGCTCCCCACTTTGCCTTGACTCCAGCCTTTGCATCCCTTTTCCCACTGCTACCCCAGGATGTGCATCTCCTTAATAGCACCCGACCGGACAAGAGGAAGCTAGGAAGCCTGGGTGATGTGGACGCCACTGCCCTAACCCCAGAGCTGCTGCTGCAGATCAGGTGCCTAGTGTCAGGCCTCAGTTCTCTGTGTGAACATTTGGGAGTACGGGAGGAGTGTTTTGCTGTAGGTTCCTTAAGTCGAGTCATCGCTGCGGATCTGGCCAATTATGCCCCTGCAAAGAACAGGAAGAAGACTGCTGCAGGCAGGGCATCAGTGGTTTTTATGGACAGAACCTTGGATCTCACAGGTAAGTGCGTTGCTCCGGAGTTCTTCATTACCATTCCCCACATTTCTGGGACTTCCATTGGTTCAGCATATCTTTTATTGACCTTTTATTATATATCAGATTGAGGATATAAAGATGAACTAGAGGGACACAGTCTCTAATCTCACAGGGTTTATTGTCTAAAGTGGAATATAGACAAGTGAATTAGCAATTACAATAACATTTGTTAAATGCTGTAATGGGTAGAAATATCATAAATGAGCATTGCCTTGTTAAACAACAACTTTAGCCCAAGATTATGCTGACATGGAGGAAAACTGTGCACCTGGGAAATTTTATTTTTAGAAATTTATGAATGCCAGTACTCACAACAGTCCTTCATAAGAACACTCTGGTTTGTTAGAGAAGTGTTAACAGATGACCCATCGGAAGGAAAACTACTGTATAATAAAACATAAAATTATCACAGACAATTGAGGTTTAGGAAATGAGTGTTAAAAAGTGAGGCTGAACTTAAATGTCACTAGTAAATGAGATTAAATAGAATTGTAGAAAATGTTTTCAAATGTTTATTGATTTATTTTTAGCTCTCATATTAAAGATTAAATAATCTCAAATTGTAATAATGTATTATTTACACAAAAGAAACAAATGTAATCCTTAAAGCAGATGAAGAAAAGACACTTTCTGATGTTTGATATGTTATTTTCAAAGGTCAACTTTATTGTTCTCTAATTAGGTTGTATAATACTGTTAGTAATGTAGCCTAGCCCCTTCTGCGTCCAGGGAGAATAATCAGAAAACTGACATTGGTAGGCATTTCCTTTAATCGGTAAGAAAAAAGTTGAATAAAGTTATAAAAAACAAAATAGGTATATTTGAGTTTTTAATCTTAAGATTAATTTTCAGATAAAAAATAGAAAGTAGGCTAAATGGTAATACTGAGATGTAAACTTAATTATGTGACTGGAAAAACCAGATGTCCAGTCTGTGATTTAAATATATAAGTAATAACTGTAGCATCACAGAGTCCATAGGGGATTAAAAGGTAAAACCCAGTAAGCAGATGCTTGTTGAGTTTTTTAGTGGATGCTATATATTACTTTTACTTCTATCTCTTTATGCCAAAAATGTAACAAAGTTGTTTCATAATCAACTGGGAAGTTCACATAATTTTGTACCCTCCCCTAAGACTTCAGTTAGGCAAAACTTAATGTCCCACTGTCCAGCATTATAGTAACAGCTCTTTACATCTTCGGTAGCTAATACTTTGTTTTTAAACATACAGAATAAATAAGGCGAGCATAACTTCTGCCTTCTAAAAGTTTGCAATATAATGTAGTCAAGTATGATTTAGAGCCTGGCATGGAGGCTCATACCTGTAATCCCAGCACTTTGGGAGGCTGAGGCAGGCAGACTGCTTGAGCTCAGGAGTTTGAGATCAACCTGGGCAACACAGCAAAACTCAATCTCTACAAAAAATTTAAAAATTAAATAAAAAAATGAAAAAATTAGCCAGGTGTGGTGATCTGTAGTCCCAGCCACTCAGAAGGCTGAGGTGGAGGATAACTTAAGCCCAGAAGGCAGAGGTTGCAGTGAACCGCCATCACATCACTGCACTTCAGCTTGGGTGAAAGAGTCAGATTCTGTCTCAAAAAAAAAACAAAAAACAAAAAACAAAAAAAAAAGATTTACAAAATAAAGACACATAGAAAGACAAAGTTGCCATTTGGCAGCAATCATTTTATAGATTCTCTCTCATCAAGCTTCCAGATCTCCTTCCCCATACTCACCTTTCTCACTTCTAATATCACTGAGAAAATATAAGCCACTAGAAAAATCCATATTTTCCCATCACCAAATCTACCACCCTTTCTACATCTGTACCCATGTCTTTTTCCTTCCTTCATATTGAAGAGAGCGCTACTGTCCCTGCCACTATCTAATGCCACCTTTTTCACCTATGTAGACTAAATCCTGTCTTTTCACTTCTCTCATAGATTTACTGTTTTTCAAATACCCTCTCCCTTTCTTAGATCATCATTTTTTCCTTTTCCCTGTATTTTCCCCCAGGGAACATCATCTTTCTTGATCTCCCATGCTCTCCCAACTTCAATTCCTTTTTTTTTTTTTTTGCTTTATTTTATAGCAAACTTGAAAGAGTTGTCTATACTTGTCTCCACAAACATCTACTCCAATTTTCTCTTGACTCCACTTCAATTAGACTTTTATTTTCCAATACTTCCCAGAAACTTCCTTTGTTTTGTTACCACATTCATTCTACTGAACTTCAAAGCAGCATTTGACACAGTAAAGTGTGCAAATAGTTAAAAAATAATTAAAGAAGTGTGAAACATATATAGGCAAGCAACCACTTAGCCCAGCTTCTTATATAATCCCTCAAAGCATAACTATGACATATCATTTACTTGCTCAGTATTCCAGTGGCCTCTCATCATACTTCCTGTGAAGTTCCTTACTGTTGTTTTCAAGGCCATATATGATCTCCCCTCTTACAACATTGGCTACCTTGCCATTGCCGGACATGCTAACCGTGTTCCAGCCCCAACGCCTTTGCAATTCCTCTGCAGCTCTGCTTGGGATGTTCTTACTTGAGGTATCCACGTGGCTTTCTCCCTAACATCATTCCTGCTCCTCAGAGAGTCCTTCCTCAGTGACCTTCTTTGACACTCTCTTACCCCTTACCTGGCTTTATTTGTCATAGCCTTTACTATTCCCTGACACTACTAATTGATTATTTATTACCTGTCTCCTCCCACTTGAATGGAAGTTCTTGAAGGAAGGGACTCTGTTTTGTTTACTGTTTGTTAACCAGCAAGAGTACCTTGAAAACAGTAGGTATTCAATATATACTTATTGAATGAATAGATAAATGAGTGGATTATAGGGTGTAGATACCAGACATTAATTGAGGTTAACACACTTATTTTTTCTAATTGAAAATGTTTCTGAGATTCTTGAATCATATCGTTAGTAATACACAAATGCAGAAAAAATGATGCATACTTTTCTGAATGATGTAAGATTTGGCAGCTTGGGCTCACCGCAAAACTTAAGAAAGAAAATAATGATATTAGCTAGTAATATTTATATGAATATTTTACAGATAAAAAACACTTCTTTGTGATGGCTCATACCTGTAATCCCAACACTGGGTGTGGTGGCTCATGCCTGTAATTCCAGGCTGAGGCTGGTGAATCATGGTAGCCTAGGAGTTCAAAAACAGCCTGGGCAACAGAGCAAGACCCTGTCTCTATAAAAAATACAAAAATTAGCCAGGTATAGTGACTTATGCCTGTGGTCTCAGTTACTCGTGAGGCTGAGGTGTGCGGATTGCTTGAACCTGGGAGTTTGAAGCTGCAGTAAGCTGTGCTCGCGCCATTGCACTCCAGTCTGGGTGACAGAGCGAGACCTTGTCTCAAATAAATAAATAAAAATAAAAATCCCACTCTTACATTACCTTATTTGATCTCAACAAATTGAGTGTTCTTTATCATTTTAAGAATTAAGATATTGAGGCTCAAAAGTTGTTCCTTACTGAAAAAAGCATAAGAGTTAGGTAGCCAGGTGTGATAGTATTGTGTCACATTTGACATTTATTTCTATAAATGTCAAAGTTCAGCATCTTTTGTTTTTTGAATTGTCAAAGAGAGAGTTAGTGTTGTATTGTTAGTGTAAAGTCCTTACTTTCTTTACATTTGTTAAGAATCCCTCTGCCAGTAGGTGGTCTTCCAAGGTGAATGGTTAAGTTAGCAAAGGTACTCAGTAGCAGGTTTGTGTGGGAGGGGGCATTTTAGGTACATGAAGTCAGTGAAACAATGTTTAATGTTGAAAGGGGCATTGCTTAAAGGGAACAAATAGAAGATTTCTGTGGGTAGATTCAAGGCAACATATAAAAAGAATAAGAAAAATTCAGCCACTCTGTCAAGAGCCTGAGAGGAACCATGAAAATATTAGTTTCAATGGGATGCTATGGGCATTCTAACACAAGATATGATGATAAAGCAATGAGATTGAACCCCCAAAAGTTCCTTGAGGTATTTCCCAAATACATTAAAAATTATAAAGACTCTGCTTCCTTCTTATCTTCTTGAATAATTCAGTTCAAAAACATTTAGGTAGGACTCAGTGAGGTAGGTGTCTGGCAGGGAGGAAGACCTTGGCTGGGCCCTGGGTGTTGGATCCCAAATGGGGTGAGATCTCCTGAGTAGAGTGAGGTCACCTGCTTAGTGGTGGTAGGTGACAGCAGCAATGGCCTGGTAGGGTGATAAAGCCAGAATGGCCAGGGCCCAGTGTATTTGCCTATCTACTGGTTTATGGAACCATGTTTTGATTTGTGGTCCTCTCTGAAACCAATCAGCTTTGAGCCTAGGATACTCAAAAAGTGCCCATGATCTACATCCCATTTAAAAATTATCACCTCCTCACTTTTAGAAGGATTAAAATTACTGCTGGCTGGTGGAGGGTAGACTTTGGAAGATAGATTTTAATCAGGACTAGTTTGTTACTGTGATCCTAATAACTGATAAATTGATGTCTTTTTAATAGATAACTTTTGGATAATCATCCAGATTATCTTCCAGATGATCAGCTTAAAGTCTCATTTGATTCAAAGATGTTTCCACATAGTGTAACATCCCATATTAGTAATATACAGGGTTCATTTTCAGTGGGTACATAGCTGTATTGTCAAACCTTTTGTTTAAATGTTGAAGTAGTTCTGTATTAGTGAGTAAAAATAAGCCCTCTACCTATTAAGACCACAAGTCACCAAATCCTGTGTCCAGTGGAGGCAATAGATAGGGCCTAGGAGCATGCTAGTGCGGATGCAGCTGGCCCCCTAGGGGCACTGAGAGAACTGAGGCAGTGGAGGTCATGGTGGCTCCATGGTAGTAGTGAATGAGAAAATGCAGCACTTACCTACTGCTTCAGAGTGGCCCCACGTTGAATGAGGTAGTAGGGTAGATGATGTTAGTAGCATTATTGTGGTAAGGGTGCTC